TTGACAGTGATTTTATTTTTGTAAATTGCTTATTTTTTGGTGTTGCGTGACTAAGATATCACTTATTCAATTTTGAACATTATGTGAATTTCATTCTCCTTCTACTTGTTCTATCATGCTCGGAATTTTGACCTCGAATGTATATCAAGCAAGAAAGTAACTGCAAAGATACATGTAATGCACAATAAAATGTTATAATGTTTGTTTTATAAGTCTCTTACGAATTTCGCAATAACCTTTTTTTATGGCATTTTAATTATGTCATTGCTTTATTTCACACTGCCTAAATTTTGATTTTACCCATTTATTTCTTTTCCAAATTTCGGTATGAATTGTTTCTGATCGTCAAAGTGAAAATCTAGATAGTCCTCAATAAAATGTACTTCAATGATCTTTTAACTGAACTGAGGTACATTTAAACAAGTCTTAAAATAGTTTAAAGTCATATGAAACTTCCAATTTAAAAAAAAAAGTTGAATATGTTTTATATACTTGAATGGCTAAGTTTTACTATAACACAAGTGTTTGTAAACTTTCTTGTAAAAAAAAGATAATCCTTTATATTATCAACATCTTCATAAATGTATTTCTATTGAATTAGTGTCTTCTCGTACTCTAATTCGCCGATATTTTCAAGCATGTAGTAACCTCCACTACGAGACTTCTCGTTAGAACTTCGCACAGCGCAAATGCGAGGAGAAACCCGTGATGAATGAGCTAAACAAACACGCACTGGAAGGTAAATAGTAATAACTGATATTACAGAACAAATTAAAAACATTAAATCATTTAACAACTATTAATGAAAAGTTTAATTCACAAATGGGAAACCATGGAACTTATGTAAAAAAAATATCCTGGCTCTATCAATTTACTTATTTTTCACGTGTTCCACATGCTCTGTGTTGATTGTTTATCAATGTCAAGATCCGGTAAACTTCGGCAACCGCTCGAAAGTTAATTAGCTTGCGATCAACAATAACTTAATGAGATATTATTTGTCGATAATACCTTATAAATTCGAAATGTAAAACTCGTGCATACAGATCTTAGTTTAGTATATATGCATGGATTGGTTCAATTATTTCGATAACATTATAATTACAAGAAACTCCTTTCATATGACCATAATAACTAAAAGCAGAAACAGCTGACAGTGACAGTGACAGTGATAGACCACTCAAACAGAGTGAAAACTGACGAAAACGAGAAATGTATCTCTACGACCGAATCATATCGAAAAGGTCAAGTATATTAAAAGTTAGATTTTCGGATTCTTCTGTCCATTTTACCTCGTAACAGATATGTAACATATATTATACAACATGAAAGCTATTTTTAAAAGGCACATAAAGACCAAAGTATCATCCAATATGCAATGCCTGAATGGAAATTAAAACTACATGCACCATGTAAGAGTGATGGTTGGTTTATTCTGCAGCAAGCGCAGTAAGAGCAGACTGGTCGGCCAAAGTCCGAATGATGTGTTAGGTAGATGACATGCCTTTTTTATGGAATAGAAACTTTTGAACTACTGGAAGATTGTGAAAAATTAAATTCTACAAACCAATGAAATGATTTCCCTTTCCCCAAATTGACAAGTTTGACCGAAGTACTGAATACCGAGCTGATGATACCCTCGTGGATTGATAGCCCACCAGCAGCGGTATATACCCAGTGGTGTAGAAAATGGATACAATACTTTATAATTTCGTGCGTCCGAATTTTTTTTTTTTTTATTTATCTTAATCAGGAACTTTCAAAGCCGAATAAGTAAAAGCCAAGGATGTATAAAAGAGAGGCAAAAGATACCAAAGAGACATTCAAACTCATAGGTCGAAATTAAACTGACAACGCCATGGCTAAAAAAGAAAATGACAACAGTACACAAAACACAACATAGAAAACTAAAGACTGAGCAACACGAACCCCACAAAAACTGGGGGTGATATCAGGAGCTCTAGAAGGATAGGCAGATCCTGATCCACATGTGGCACCTGTCGTGTTGCTCATGTAAGTACAAACCCGATGATAAGTCTAATTCGGTAGGTCAAATTCGGGGAAAATGGGATGGGATTGTAGCTACGACAATTGGAACATATCCGTCATCATCTGTGAAACAGATATTCCATAAGGGTCAACCAACTCGTGATAGCGTCCGTAAAATTGACGAAGGGATGATTTCAACTTCACCGCTTCGAACTCTTGGTTTAAATGCTTCCTTGTGAGCAGCAACTCTCTATCAAGGAAATCATGATAGGAAATAAAAGCCCGGGAATATCGTATCAACTGGGAGACATATAATCCGTATGCAGGCGCTGCTGGAATGTTGCTTCATAGAAATGGAAAGTTCATGATTGGAAAGCTGAAATCATCTCTTTTGTCGTAAAGTTTTGTTTTCAACGGACCATCTTTATCAATTTCTAGATGCAAGCCAAGATATGAGGCAGACTTAACTGTATCTGTTGTATCCTTTATCTCAAGTTCGATGGGATAGATGCGTTCAACATAGTCACCAAATTTGGAATTATTTAGTGAGAGAACATCATCTATATATCGGAAAGTGAAGTAAAGTATAAGAACCGAAACGTTTGAAGATAATTATGACAAAAAAGGACATAAAAGTAATAGCCAAATTCATCTAAAATCAACTTTGCCTAAGGGAGTAACTGATTACAAAGTAAATATGCTAGGTTATCTAAATGTTATAAAGCAGCTGTTAATTGACATAGACAAGAAATAATTATATCATTATTTTACTTAGGACAGTTAGTTCAGTCAATTAAGATTGACATAAAAGAGGAAGAGTTTCAAATTAAAACTCCATCTTCATCCTTAATGTTTAGTTAATCATCACATATGTGAATACTAATAGTATTGTATTAGTGCACTTATTTAATAACATGATGATGATGATGATGATATTGATGGACGACTGTTTAACGTTCAGCAGCAGATTGAATGCATATTTTAGACAAGAGCATGCTTTAGACAAGAACATGTATGACCAAACTCAGTAAAGAACCGTCTAAATTACATTTTATTGATAAATTCAACAACACTTACCGTTATCTTGATGATATTTTTTCGTTAAATATTCAAGAATTTTCTAAATATACTGCCGAAATTTCAACCAAAGGAACTTAATTCAAATACATCAAATATAAATAGTAATAACTGTCCTTTCCTAGATTTAGATATTTCAGTTTTACACGGGAAATTCTACACTAAAATTTACGACAAAAAGACGATTTTTCGTTCCCTATTGTTAATTTTTCTGTTTTGGACGGTGATGTTCTTTTTGCACCATCTTACGGTGTTTATATATCACAACTCGTTCGCTATGTCCATGTCTGTTGTGACGTTTTGGATTTCAATGAACGTAATCTATGTCTTACTGGTAAATTATTAAGTCAGGGATTTCGTTACCACAAATTACTTAAAACCTTTACTAAATTCTGTCATAGATATAAAGATTTGGTTTTGAACTTTGGTTGTACCTGTAGAAAACTTATTTCAAACAGGATAGCACATCCTCATTTTTACGGAGATGTTGTTAACCGAGCCAGGAAATTTAGAAACGATCGGGGTAAACTTATCGATCCTTTAAATAAACTTAATTTAAAAGGTTACCAATTCAACATTTCATTAGATCTTTGAATATTGTTTTTGTTGGTATTAATATTGATTTTGCTATCAGTAAATTAAAATCAAACTAAATATTTTTTTAATATACATATGCACATTCATGACTCTACAATCTGACGATACATGTATCTTGGCATTGCACAAGGTCGTGTTTTTCTCTGACTGTTTATGACGTCTTTATACTAAATTCATTGGATGCTGATTGATATTTAAGTCTTAGATGCATAATTTTTTTTTGTATTAGTTGTTATTGGCTTTGAATTAGCTGTCAGTAACTCAGTACTCTCAGATATGTACTTAGTGTCTTTTTGTTTATTAGATGTATAAGTACCCATCCACGTCCACTCTGTGTTCTTGTTAGATGTATTTCTACTTGTATCCATCCGATGAGTTAAGCCTTTTCAACTTATTTTTATAGTTTGTTCTTAAATTGTACTGTTACACCACTGTCCCAGGGGAGGGTTGGCACCTTCAAACGAGTTTAACCCCGCCACATACTGTATATGCCTGTCCCAAGTCAGGAGCCTGTAATTCAGTGGTTGTCGTTACATATTTGTTTTTTGTTCATTATTTTGAACATAAATTAGGCCGTTAGTTTTCTCGTTAGAATTGTTTTACATTTGTCATTTCGGAGCCTTTTATAGCAGACTATGCGGTATGGGCTTTGCTCATTGTTGAAGGCCGTACGGTGACCTATAGTTGTTAATTTCTGTGTCATTTGGTCTCTTGTGGAGAGTTTTCTCATTTGCAATCATACCACATTTTTTTTTTATATAATGTACTATGAATATTAACCATTCTTTGTACTAGACCGATATGCTGTGCCTGACTTTTAACATGCTAGTTCACAATGTATCAGTCAGCATGATGACATGTGACCGTACCCGGGTTATTAATCTGTTGCAGAGCCAACCAGTCTTTGCTGTTACTCCTTTATGCCACATGCTTAGCAGAGAAGCAGCAAATACCAATTCTAAAGTATTTTGTTTGACCTGACAGGGGTAAGAACCCCCACCTCAGAACAGGGTATCTTGAGACCAACAAGTCGGTTACTGAATATTTATAACAAAACTAACAAGAATATTGACAAAACTAATGACATACAGGTATACATCTAACAATATAACCAAAATTTTTCAGTTCATTTCTGTATATTGATATATTCATGTGATGGATTTGGAACCAAGTTTTATTATATGTGAATGTTCTGATTAACACAGCTATAATCTGGTTTTTGAGGTGATGCAATAGTAATGAATAGGAGAAAAAGTTCAATCTTTCAAAAACCGGGTGCAACCACATTGTAGGAATGCAAAATTTATGCTATTACATTAAATGTATAAATACACTAGTTTCTATATAAACTTTATTACAGCTTTTATCATACAACCTACAATATTATATTGTAAAATATTCAAGGTGGTTATAACAGACAATGGATGAAATTCTGTGATTATTTTCTAAAAAATATCAATGAATGCATGAAAAAGATGTTATATAAATGTGAGGATAAAACTATTACTTTAACTCTTTTTTAACTTTTAACTGTTTTTGTGCATAAAACAGAAGTGTATAAAATAATAAGTAATTCAATAATCTTTTTACATCAACATTTTCACTTGAATTTAGAGGAAATAAAACAGTCTTTTTAAATAATGAGTATAAACTGTGTAAAAAAACAATAGAAAAAAAATGATAAGTAAACTGTAAAAAATGCAATAAAAGTCTGACAAATATCTGAATTAAAATTATTTTGATTAGTAGAATTGGTGGTAATAAAAAAATCTGCAATGTATTACGTTTATTTGATCCTACAATAAATAAGTTAGACATGTATTTTGAAACCAAGTCCTACTCAATTTGTATGACGGCAAATATAATTCTCTGAACTATGAGCAGTTGATATGTAAAACATATATGAATGCTACCACAACCATTCAGTCAATGAAGTGAATATTGTACTAAGTATAATTTGTAATAAGAAAAGTTTTCAAAGATTAGGCCACATGGTTGCAAGTGCGAAGAATTTTAAAGTTTCCGGTACAGTTAAAATAAAAACTGTCACAATTAAATAATTTAGACTTTTCTACATAATAGTAATGTGTCAAGAGTATATATAATATTGATAAATAACAACTTATAAAATAATACACCTATAAACTACACTGCTGAACATTTTGAAAATACAGTACAATGTATTTAGAAAAAAAAAATTAATATGTGGAGTTCAATTAAAAGTTTCATTCTATGTATTCTTAATTAATCAGAAGTTAAAAACATGACCTTTTTACATTAGAACTCCAGTACCTTATTCCCATGCAATGCATTTTAATGTCTGCCTTGCATCCTCTATATATCTTACAAATTTTTTTTTTTAAATTATTCAAAACATAAATCTGACAAACTAATATGGAATCTTAAAAGCCACAACCACAACAATCTTCCTTTCTTTTTCAAAATAATTTGGATGTGTCTGGTTTTTTTTTTTAATCTATGAAGAAAACCCTTTTCATTAATAAAATTGTTGAGATTTGAAATCTTTATTTTCAATCCTTACCACAAGACTGTAATTGACTATATAAATTGACTATTGTCAAGATAGAAATCCTCTTGAATACTCTTAATCTTTAAATGCTATGAACAAATACTTACGACACTTTTTTTTTTAGCATTAGTTCTTCTAAAAAAAATTAATAATTGTTGAGTTCCTATTCAATTTTAATAAACTTAAAATAACAATTTAATCACTGTATGACCTTAATTCAAAATATTTGCTTTCTCTGAATAGATGTTATAACTATGTTGTTCAAAAAATAATAATAAGAATATTTTTATTAAATGTACAGATATCAAATATTACAAAACAACCTTAAATGCTATCTGCATGAGTAAAAATAAATTATTTTGACACAAGAAAATAAGGATATATTGAAAATTCTGAGTATTTATATAAAAAAAAGTTCCTGTTTTGGCTTATAGAATTTTTTTCTGTTTAAATGTTTTCTTAACATAACCAGAGGTAAACCAATATACCATTTTACAGAAGACATGTGAATTATGTACAAATTTAAACAACACTTTAATACAAAAATATTAAATTCTTTACACATAGAAGGTGTTTGTTGGAAGTAATAACTATATGATTAGTGCATGAAAAGAAAAAGTGAAATAAAGCCTCATTATATTTTGGCACAAAACTAGAAACAAACCATGAGCACTGAAAATTCTAAAAGGAATGACTAACAATATATTACAATGTGTACATTCAACACAACATGTAGATGCACAGCATGCTATAGTTAACAACAGAAAGATCCAATACTGACAAGATGAATATTCACCTAAGCCTTCTTTTGTAGCCTAACAATCACCCTTTTTATACACAATTCTCCCACATTAAACTACAAAAGAAATAACTTTCCAAGTGTATTAATTTTCACTATATTAAACAAACTATGAATCTAGCTCCCCTGAAAATCTGCACTGATAATAAAAAATATCACAACATTATACAACAAAGTGATAGTAAAATTAAACATCACAATACTATAAAACAAATCAAAAAAAAGATTCCCATGAGCATGTGGTCACAAACAAAACCGTGAAAAATAGATGCAGTAAAGATTCGTGTTTACACTAAATTTGATCTAATGAAGTGATAAATAATTGATGCATGGTGTTAAAATAAAAAATCTTCAGTCTTTATTAGAGAAAAAATCACAAAAATTGACTTTATGCTGAAATGTTCAATCTGACTTGTTCATACAAAAACTGCAATTTTCTGTATGCTTTTTAGGTGGTATCCAGTTTCAATTTAAATTCTTGTCTATCATTTAAAAAAAATACTGACTTCATCCAGCCAATATGAATAAAGGCAACAGTAGTATACCGCTAAAAAAAGACATGAAAAGCTTTACCAAAAGAGGAAGTATTACAGCATAAACCCTTCATGTGTTAACCAATTTTCTTGCAACGGACCAATCAATAGCTTATCAACAGCTTTTGTTAGGTGTTCGAATCAATATTGCTATGATTTAACAGCTTGAAACATCAGATTTACATCAGTTCCCTTTAACAATTAAAGACTTTTATTAGCTGGAAGTTTTTCAAATAGCTCTGATCAAATTAAAACAGAAATGACCACATGCAAGAAAAATAATTATCCCATGAATGTTTTAGACTGTATATAAAAGTATTAGGAATGACAAACACATTTGTATATTGACTACTCTAACTAAAATTTCTTTTATTTCTAATCTGATATCTGACAAAAAAATATTACAAATATAACACAATATATATTGCACTAATCTAACCCTTTTTGTGTATACTGAAAAAATATTCAAAATAAACAGAAATGAAAAAAAAATAAGATTGCTAAAGAGATATGGTCGCCATTCTTATAATTGAAGTAGATTTTAATCTCTCTGACAATATTAAAATCAATTCCTTTAATATGCAAAATGAAACAACAATTTCAATTTTGTTTCACTGTTTTTAGTACATTTTTTTAGAAGGTACTGAATTATTGTATAGGATGAAATAATTATAATTGACATCTATGCCTATTCATACAATATATTCTTTAAACTTTTCTAAAACATTAATAAAATACACTAACAGGTTTGAGTGTCTTTATACATATTCAAAATATAAAAAAGGTAGCTAAACCATATCCCTTTGACAAAAACAGCTTCATAAAAATTTATAACCAATGCATAGAATGTGTGCTAGTTTTTCCTAAAATTAGTGATTAAAATTACCCTAACATGAACATTTTACATAAACAGAACATGTCATGCAAACATAAAAAAATACTATAAACAGACAGGTAAAAAAGTCTTATACTTCAATGTTTATATGTTTAAACTGCTTGAGCAACCTATTTATTTGTTCAGCAGTATTTTTTTCAAAATTTGTTCTACTGTATGACAGTACTAATTTTATACAGCCTTTTTTTTTTAAATAGTTAAAACAAAAATTAGCAAAAATATGATCTTCTTCCTTATTATGCATAACTTCTAAGAAATAATATGTATATTGAAGACACATACAAAAACTCATTTCACGATTCTAAAATAGCAATAATACACTGAAATATGTGTACATCAAACACTACATACACCAGAAACATGTTTAGATTGAAAATTTGTCTTTTAACAAAATCTCAAGTCTGTAAATTCGTTTGGCTGCTATTGGTTTCACTGTAATTTTATAAACTTTCAATGTTTGGGTCCAAACCCTATGCTATCAATAAACTCATTATAGATACCAGTATCAAAAATGTGAATGCCAGACACACGTTTCATCTACAAAAGTCAGTGTCGCTTGAATTAAAAAAAGTTGAAGGGCCAAATAAAGTACAAAACTGAAGAGCATTAACGACCCAATATTCCATAAGGATTAGTTAAATACAGCTAAGCTAATCTATTCCTGGGGTAGAAAATCCTTAGTATTTCGAAAAAATCCGATTTTTATAAACAGTCAATTTAACATTTGCTCTTCAGTACTAGACATACACTTTTCATAAAAATATAAACAAAGTTCAATTATAGTTATCAAATTCAAATGTTAGCCTGCTAATTTTCATCTTTTGAATGTACTTTTTGAAAAAATTGTCTTTGAAATATAATAATTCCAGTAAAAATATTATTTCAGCAACATGTATATAAACATAAACACAAAAATATGAAAATATTTTTCTCAACATATGCACATAAAATAAACTTGCATACACTTGCACTACAAAATAATGACATACAAAATTGTTTATGACTTAAACATGAGTATAATGTAGATTTCCTATTCTACCAACTTATAAAATATCTCAATAAACAAAGTCAAACATTGTTACCTACAAGATTTCAAAATAATAATTCAAAAATAAAGTCTTTCTATTTGGATATAAAAAATAAAAACTCTATATACAAAACTTCAACTTTCATGCAACTGAATATGTTGAAAATGTCTTGGCAAACTTTAGCTTTATGGCTTTCATCTTAACAAATACAATTATGTTTCCTACAACTTTAAACCTAAATATTAATTTCTTCCCAATACTGTAAATTCAGAAATTATTGTGAGGTATTTATTAATGCGAAAATTTGCTACTTGGTGATTATCCCAATCATAAGAACTCACATTTTGATATCTGATACATATATCTGTATGCAGATTTTCCTGAAATCGCATTTTTGTCTTTTCTTAAAAAAATCGCAATAATAAAAATAATTTAAGAACTTACAGTATATCAATATCTGTTGTAAGGAAGACGGTCTACGGCAATCTGGGATGATATGATAGGTTGGCTACAGATACTAAAAGGCGATAGACAATATCTGTTGTAAGGAAGACGGTCTATGGCAATCTGGGATGATATGATAGGTTGGCTACAGATACTAAAAGGCGATAGACAGAAGATTGTAAAAAGAGGAAAAATAGTCAACTTTGTTCAATTAATTTGAAGAAAAAATAAGATGGATTTATGTATATGTATGAGACAAATAATTCAAAAATCAATGTTTTCTACGAGAATTAAAATATCAGTACCAAGTCACCTATTTAATTCCTGATTTTTTTCAATTCTTTATCATGCTCGTCTTTGACTTTATAATGTTGCAAAAGTCTTCAGAATATCTTGTATAATGACTTGGTACAGATAATCTTGAATGAATGAACATTATCAGACAGTCTGTTAACAAAATCCATTACACAATAAGAAATGAGAATTGATAAAGTCTTCAAGATAAAGCAACAAAACAAGGAAATTATAAGAAGAAAGCTGATAAAATAAATAAACAACTCAATCACCAGATTTTAATGAATGATTTTTTGAGGTATGTGTGGTATACACCAATGAAGCACAAAGGCAACCCAACTATTAAATAATCCAGAAAACCAAAGGTCAACAAATGGTCAATATTTTATTTAAATGGGAAATCTTACCAATAAAATCAGTGTTTTACTTGAAGGTAATAATGTTTGACTTGACTTAAGTACAATATAGATCACAACTCTTAAACAACAGACACTTACACTTGTGTCATATATAATATAGTAATACCTTAGTAAATGAAGGTATAAAAAATACCTCTTCTAAAATATTCAAATAGCTAACGAAATCTTTGAAATTATTCCAGGCAGCACTCCTAGTAAAAGTTTTGTAAAAAACAATACCTAGATTAATGAATGGAAAATACTTAAATTTAGTAAAAAATGATTTTTGCAATATGTTTACATGTCATGATTCTGCAACTTTTTAATGCAAGCCAAATATTAGTTACAACTGAATTTAATGTTTGCTTCAAGGTTATTATATAAAAGCACCACCTTTTTCTTGAAAGATCTAAAAGACAGAGGCATAATAACATGAGAATTGTTAGACCTACTGCGTTTGCCATTAAAGAATTGCTGCTGAAATGTAGTCATGACGACCTGTTTTCAATATAAATTAATATAAATTCTAAGTTTAGCATTCATCATAATTCCTGCTTGCATGTCCAACACAATAATATATAACACTAGACAATAGAGCAAACACACCTGCTCCAACAGCTACCCAGAATCCCCAGCCGTAGATTAACTGGTTCCCTGTTGAACTTTCTTTGGTCAGAACTTCAGCTTCATGATCGAGGTATGCTTTAGCACCAAACACACAAACCGACACAGCAATCAACAAAACTGAAATAAGTATCATATCTTCATATTTGAAGCTTGCCATAGAAATGAAAACACTTCATTTCATATTTATAGTAACTATATAAGTAAAGAACAAGATGAACTATATAATGGATCTACACAATGTACAATGGTGTAATGATCCTGTATCACTCACATCATATAGATGTTTAATGCAGTCTGACTAAAGCCAGATGATTTTATTGGTTGCTGTCTGTAATATTTGTGTTTCGTCATAAATCTGTCCTTTGTTTTTTTCATTTGCAAGGTTCACATTTCCTCATTTCAGGGCTTTTATGGCTGACTATAAGGTATGGGTTTTGCTCATTGTTGAAGGTTGTACATTGACCTATAAATGCTGAAATACACAGAGATATGTCTCGCCTATCCGCATAAAATTCAGAAAAGGACAATCTGATGGACAGCAACATTGCTCATTAATTCAGTCTCTGAACTATTGTCTAGTGGGCAGGGCCTGAAAATGGTCGATAAACTGAGATGTACAGACAGTAATGTAACTTTATAGAAAAATATCTTTGTTTATTGTAAGTAGTTCTGATCAATATAACTTAAGCAGAAAAACTGAACATTGAAAATTGGAAATTAATTCAAAGTCACTGGACCATGCCCTAGGGGGCAGGGCCTCAAAATAGTTATCAAACTGTTGTTCAGGGTTATATCTGGTCTATATACCAGCTTTGATAATTGTTTGGTATTACTATAAATTTTCACTTCTTTGTACTATGAACATCAAAATTATTTATTTTGTAAAAATATTTCCTTTCTCCATTTGAACTGTACATGTATATCTAACAACAAAATTATTTTCATTTACCTGTGTTTGAAGTAATTGCAAATGGCTGATATTTTTGTTCAAGCATATTGTTTTTCTTATGTGTATGTTCACTAGTGTTAATATGTCTTTTGCTTGAGTTAAGCCATTTCAATTGATATTTTATAGCGTGTCTTTCTATGTTGTGAAGTTACACTATTGTTTCAGATAAGGGTGAAGGTTTGGTACCATTAAAACGTTAAAAACCCGCTGCAATTGTTTGCACCTGTCCTAAGTCAGGAATCTGATGTTCAGTAGTTGTCGTTTGTTGGTGTGGTTCATACGTGTTTCTCGTTTTTTATATACATGTAGATTAGACTGTTGTTTTCCCGTTTGAATGGTTTTACACTTGTAATTTTTGGGGCCCTTTATGAGGGGCCTGATGGGGGGGTCTCATCATGATTCACGAGTTGATTTTTTTGTCAATCATGATTCACAGAAAATAAATTTCCATGATCACGGATCACAAAAATATAAAAAAGAGTAATAAATCTGTAGAAAAACGGATCACGATAGCGAAAATGCGCCGATCACGAAGAACGAAAATAACCCATCAGGCCCCTCCTTTATAGCTTGCAGTTCGGTGTGAGACAAGGCTCTGTGTTCTTTGACCTATAATGGTTTACTTTTATAAATTTTGACTTGGATGGAGAGTTGTCTCATTGGCACTTATACCACATCTTCTTATATCTATATGATATGTACTGATAGTAATGCAACTTTACACAAAATATCATTGATCTATCACATGTAGTTCTACTAAAGCTGACTTAAGCAGAAAAACTGAATACTGAAAATTGCTAATTAATTCAAAGTCACTTGACCATGTCCTAAGGGCAGGGCCTCAAAATAGTCATCAAACTAATATGAACTGATAGTAATGCAACTTCATACAAAATATCATTGATCTATCACAAGTAGTTTCTATCAAACTAACTTAAGCAGAAAACTTAACAATTGTTGACGCTGGAGCTGTTGTCGCCAGAAAAGCAATCCCTATGTCTCGCTTACGCAACTTTCGTCAAAGGCGAGACAATAAAAACGGACATTCAGCCCACACTGACAATACAACAACTTACAAGTGAGGTTAGCAAAAGCTCCAGCAGCCTGATGGGCATTGCATCCTTTACAGACATTACACAATGACAACAGACCAATCAATAGAGCCAGCATGGAAGAAGCAACAGCACAGGACATCAATCCTTGTACAGCTTTAAACCAGTCTGAAATAAACAAATTATCAAATGTACATTATTTCAGTCTGTTGCATAAATACTAATTATTTCACCTAATACAATAATCTCAATCAACATGCAGTACAATAGGACTGTTACAGTTTGCATAAATCACATGTACAGCTATAAACCAGAAGCACATGTACTGTTTAATGAATATTATCTATACTTGTATCTATAAACAATCACATACATGAAGCCCCCCAGCACAGCTAGCAGGATTTGGGCTTTCATGATAGAAATTATACAAAATGAACCATTCATATTCACAAGTCAGGAATATGACAGTTGTTTTCCATTCGTTTGATGTGTTTGAGCTTTTGATTTTGCCATTTGATAAGGGACTTTCCATTTTGAATTTTCCTTAGAGTTCAGTATTTTTGTTATTTTACTTTTTATTCACAAGAAAAACAAAATCACTTATTTTTCCACAAAGATCTCACTGGGAGTGTTGGTATGGTTGATTCTTTTTTTTTTTATAGTAAATATATGATGCAAAACAAGCATGGAAATATATGGTAGAGTATTGACAAAATGATTGAAGATATTATCTAAATATTTCTGTTATTTTTGAGAAAATAAGATTTTTAATTCATATTTAAACACCAGGGAAATTTATTTATATGTGCATCTGCCAGTCCATTGGCTGTAAAGCATTTAATGGTAAAAAATGCAATAACTTTATGCCAGCTTACACCAGTGTAACAATAATTTGCCATAGTAAACACTTTTACAAGTGTGAATTTAAAAATACATTGATTTTACTGCCATTTGATAGTCAGAACAAACCATAAATCTGGATTTATTCGTAATTGATAATCAACATGAAATTTTAAGTTAACATTGATTCTTTTCTTAAAGTTGAAAGTAACATTATAGCTTACTGAGAAATTTGCAATTCTAGGTCGTTATAACCACTTCAATTAACTTAAATCAATTGAAAATGCCTTCACAATAACAGACACAAAATTTAACATAGTTCATTTTGTAAAATGGCTGACACAGGTTCATTTATGAAGAGATTTCTGCTATAAACTTGATCGTTTGAAAAATGAACACTACGTTCAAGTTCAATCATGTCAATCCTCAATATTCATTTTTACAAGATTTCAAGACTTTGAATTGCATTTAAAGCACAGATTGTGACTATTTAGTGATAAGTGACTTCGATGAAATAGTGACGGGACTATCAGTGCTTACTTTTATATGATAGTCGTCAGGCTTTGAATAGAACATCAGCTTCTCCAGTGCTAGCTATAACATATCCATGTAATTTATTCATTCTTGAAACATAATTGATCAATTTTCTATTATAATGGATAATCTGAACTTCACTAGTAATCTGTACTGGAGGTTCACCATAGAGAGAAAATCAAGGGTGGAGGAGAGATGTCAACAAAGTATAGATAATATGTCACATTGGTATCACAATGAGTTACTCATTGACTCAAACGTCAACAAAGTATAGATAACATGTCACATTGGTATCACAATGAGTTACTCATTGACTCAAACGTCAACAAAGTATAGATGATATGTCACATTGGTATCACAATTAGTTACTCATTGACTCAAACGTCAACAAAGTATAGATGATATGTCACATTGGTATCACAATTACTTACTCATTGACTCAAACGTCAACAAAGTAAAGATGATATGTCACATTGGTATCACAATCAGTTACTCATTAACTCAAACGTCAACAAAGTATAGATGATATGTCACATTGGTATCACAATGAGTTACTCACTGACTCAAACGTCAACAAAGTATAGATAACATGTCACTTTGGTATCACAATCAGTTACTCATTGACTCAAACGTCAACAAAGTATAGATGATATGTCACATTGGTATCACAAGGAGTTACTCATTGACTCAAACGTCAACAAAGTATAGATGACATGTCACATTGGTATCACAATCAGTTACTCATTCACTCAAACGTCAACAAAGTATAGATGACATGTCACATTGGTATCACAAGGAGTTACTCATTCACTCAAACGTCAACAAAGTACAGATGACATGTCACATTGGTATCACAAGGAGTTACTCATTCACTCAAACGTCAACAAAGTACAGATGACATGTCACATTGGTATCACAAGGAGTTACTCATTCACTCAAACGTCAACAAAGTACAGATGACATGTCACATTGGTATCACAAGGAGTTACTCATTCACTCAAACGTCAACAAAGTATAGATGACATGTCACATTGGTATCACAAGGAGTTACTCATTGACTCAAACGTCAACAAAGTATAGATGACATGTCCCATGGGTATCACAAGGAGTTACTCATTGACTCAAACGTCAACAAAGTATAGAATACATGTCCCATGGGTATCACAATGAGTTACTCATTGACTCAAACGTCAACAAAGTATAGATGACATGTCCCATGGGTATCACAATGAGTTACTCATTGACTCAAACGTCAACAAAGTATAGATGACATGTCCCATGGGTATCACAATGAGTTACTCATTGACTCAAACGTCAACAAAGTATAGATGACATGTCCCATGGGTATCACAAGGAGTTACTCATTGACTCAAACGTCAACAAAGTATAGATGACATGTCCCATGGGTATCACAATGAGTTACTCATTGACTCAAACGTCAACAAAGTATAGATGACATGTCCCATGGGTATCACAATGAGTTACTCATTGACTCAAACGTCAACAAAGTATAGATGACATGTCCCATGGGTATCACAATGAGTTACTCATTGACTCAAACGTCAGCAAAGTATAGATGACATGTCCCATGGGTATCACAATGAGTTACTCATTGACTCAAACGTCAACAAAGTATAGATGACATGTCCCATGGGTATCACAATGAGTTACTCATTGACTCAAACGTCAGCAAAGTATAGATGACATGTCCCATGGGTATCACAATGAGTTACTCATTGACTCAAACGTCAACAAAGTATAGATGACATGTCCCATGGGTATCACAATGAGTTACTCATTGACTCAAACGTCAACAAAGTATAGATGACATGTCCCATGGGTATCACAATGAGTTACTCATTGACTCAAACGTCAACAAAGTATAGATGATATGTCCCATGGGTATCACAATGAGTTACTCATTGACTCAAACGTCAACAAAGTAAAGATGATATGTCCCATGGGTATCACAATATGTTACTCATGGACTCAAACGTCAACAAAGTATAGATGACATGTCCCATGGGTATCACAATGAGTTACTCATTGACTCAAACGTCAACAAAGTAAAGATGATATGTCCCATGGGTATCACAATATGTTACTCATGGACTCAAACGTCAACAAAGTATAGATGACATGTCCCATGGGTATCACAATATGTTACTAATGGACTCAAACGTCAACAAAGTAAAGATGACATGTCACATTGGTATCACAATGAGTTACTCATTGACTCAAACGTCAACAAAGTATAGATGACATGTCACATGGGTATCACAATGAGTTACTCATTGACTCAAACGTCAACAAAGTATAGATGACATGTCACATGGGTATCACAATGAGTTACTCATTGACTCAAACGTCAACAAAGTATAGATGACATGTCACATGGGTATCACAATGAGTTACTCATTGACTCAAACGTCAACAAAGTATAGATGACATGTCACATGGGTATCACAATGAGTTACTCATTGACTCAAACGTCAACAAAGTATAGATGACATGTCACATTGGTATCACAATCAGTTACTCATTGACTCAAACGTCAACAAAGTAAAGATGACATGTCACATTGGTATCACAATCAGTTACTCATTGACTCAAACGTCAACAAAGTAAAGATGATATGTCACATTGGTATCACAATCAGTTACTCATTGACTCAAACGTCAACAAAGTATAGATGATATGTCACATTGGTATCACAATCAGTTACTCATTGACTCAAACGTCAACAAAGTATAGATGATATGTCACATTGGTATCACAATCAGTTACTCATTGACTCAAACGTCAACAAAGTAAAGATGATATGTCACATTGGTATCACAATGAGTTACTCATTAACTCAAACGTCAACAAAGTATAGATGATATGTCACATTGGTATCACAATGAGTTACTCACTGACTCAAACGTCAACAAAGTATAGATAACATGTCACATTGGTATCACAATTAGTTACTCATTCACTTACTCACTGACTCAAACGTCAACAAAGTATAGATAATATGTCACATTGGTATCACAATCAGTTACTCATTGACTCAAACGTCAACAAAGTATAGATAACATGTCACATTGGTATCACAATTAGTTACTCATTCACTTACTCACTGACTCAAACGTCAACAAAGTATAGATAATATGTCACATTGGTATCACAATCAGTTACTCATTGACTCAAACGTCAACAAAGTATAGATAATATGTCACACTGGTATCACAATTAGTTACTCATTGACTCAAACTTGTCACTCATTTGTTGCTAATTTTGTGCTTTATGAGATGATGCCTCATGGACACTACCCCCGCTAAAAACCACATGGTTGTCAACAATAATAAATACACAAATTTTGACATGAGATCATGGATTTGAGTGCTAAATTACTTCTTTTATTCCTTGTAATTTAATTTGTAAATAGGTATTCAATTTAAAACACATTCAAGCATTTATTATGTATATATCAAATACATTGTAAATTGCAATCAAATAATAAAAATGAATTTTTTATTTGACGAAACTATGTTGTTGGATGGTTGATTGTTCAACCATGCATGATAAGCAACGTAAATAAAGCAATCAGCTGTCAATGTAATCCCTGAAGGCACTGTTCACACATTTAACACTTCACATTTCTAAATAGCCACTGACATGATAATTGGGTTAGGGGTATCTGGTATTTTACTGGGCATAGGATGTTTTTGTGCATTTTTACCTTTAACATGAAGAGACATTTACCTTCCAAACACTATATCAAGTATATGGACATTTACACTTTAAAAACCTATACAAAATTGACCAGACATTTGAGCTTTTTACCTACAATAGTTTACCTGTAACATGTGTAAATGGAATTGCAACTTTTACATTACAACAAATCTAAAGTGCTTGTGGCAAGAATGTTTGTTGAAGAATTTTTATGAATGGAAAATCCAAATTTTGACCTTTAACATGTTTAACTTAAGCAACTTCATGTGATTCTTGGATTTAAAAACATGAAAAATGGGAACTATATTCCTCTTATGTTCACTCTATTGTCTGGAAAATATAAAGAACTTTACCATCAAGGTTGGGTGGTCCCGGTATTTACTAGTAGTATTTACCTACTTGTATCTATATATTACCCTGCTCAATACTCCTCAAGTGGTCAATACTTGCAAATACTAGTCAATTGAAATTTTAATGATTCTCTTCACAGATTCAAGTTCATTTGTAAAACATTGGTTGATGTTGGGAAGTTATTCTAAAGATTTAAGACTCACAAAAAAGTGTCTTCAAAAAATTATTAGTGGACTAAGTTGTTAAACTAGTGTATCACTAGCCCGTCAACACTGAGGTTGTTAGTTCGAATCCTGCGTGTAGTAGGTGCATTCGACTCCAATCTTAATTGACTAGGATTGTCAGTTTCCAACCGAATGTCGTTGGTTCTCTACACCAACAAAAAACAGACTGTAACGGAATAGTGCTATAAGTGTTGTTAAACATCAATCAATCATTCAAGCAAACATAATTTTTAGAACTTTTTTCCTGTTAATATGTCAACATTTATTAGTGGTCAGGCTTTATAGTAATTAAACTTTTGAAACCTGTTAACCCCTTGGAAACATCCTGATAGAATAGTCACCTGTAATTTTATTTACCTGGAAAAATCAAACCTTTTCATGAAAAAAATATCTTGATTTATACTTGTTGAAATAATTGATATAGCAATTTTATACATTCCTCAAGAATGATCTAAACCTGTTACATGAAAGGACATTTGCACTTTAAACTTTGATACACCTATACAAAATTGACTGGACATTTGCACTTTTTACCTACATGTAGTATAAAAGTGTAACTGTAAACTTTATTTGGTGATGTACGGCGGGCAATTGCCAAAAAGTGTCTGTTCAATAATCATATCTTGAAAAAGCTTTGAAGAAATATTTTTAAATTTAGATATGTTGTTTCCTGTGACTAAATGAAGGTCAAGTTCAATTTTTATCGTTGTTGAGTTGTAGACCTTTAAGAAGCAAAAAGTTATACTTAGAGCGCTGTCCGTGCAATTACTTGAATACGCTTTGAGGAAATCTTTTCAAATTTACATATGTTGTTTCCTGTGACTAAATGAAGGTCAAGTTCAATTTTTATCGTTGTTGAGTTGTAGACCTTAGGAAGCAGAAAGTGATACTAAGATTGATTTTAGCCTTTCCATTTCTGAACCCTACAAAAATTCATTTATTTTTTTTTCTTGATCCTTTTTTGGGGGTCCAGATTTGCAAATATCATTTTCATGCAGGAAAATCTGGTTTGCTGTCAATCTAACAGCCTCTTGTTTTGACATATATTGATGAAATATTTAAATTTAGCAGCTGTATACAATTCATGGATTCAAAACTTTATTCCTCATGTTATTTTTTTTGTCTGGAAAGTCAGAGGAATTTTTCTTTGGAAAATGTCTGTACAAAGTTGACAATATAACAGTGGTTTATATCATTTGTTCAGTTTGATTGATCAAGTCTCATGTTTGATTTTGTCAGTTTATGTTGACTTCTCCCTTTTTGAATTTACCTTGGAGTTCAGTATTTTTTTTAACTTTTTTCCATCTTCAAATCATTGTTTGTCTAAGCCTTTTTGAATTAGAGAAGACCTTAACTTGATTTTTAAACAGTGGCTGTTCATGTTGACATTAAAGAAAGAGCGAAATGTTATGTTGATAAAGCACAAATGTCCTGTAGAAAATAGGTCTTCAACACAAAGTAGCACAATAAAATATTAAATTTTTACAGAATTCTAGATTTGAATAAAATTTAAAGAAAGAATATGATAATCATATACATACACCTATAATGGTTTACTTTTATAAATTTTGACTTGGATGGAGAGTTGTCTCATTGGCACTCATACCACATCTTCTTATATCTATTTTAACTTTCATACATTATTTTTATACTCATATTCACCTTAACATCTGTTTTTAACTGTATTTTGTTTTATTCTTTTAATTGTGAAAAGGGAGAACTGATTTGCCAATCTTTTTATTCCCCATTTGGATATACAATGATATATGAGATACATCTAAAAGTTAGTGATTAGAAGAACCAGATGAAGGATGAATGTATGGGGTGGTTTAAAGACTGAGACCACATTCAATATAAATTATCCTGCAACACCAAATAAATACTTCATATTTTGAAATTTAGCTTTAACAGGTAGAAACAGCAATGTTTACCGATTTGACCTATTTTTTTTATAACTTTTGACTTGATTATGACCGGCCCAAAACAGTAAAAATATTTGCCAGTCCACATTTGGTCTGACACATAAACATCATTTGCCAGACCCTCTAAAATTTGACCCCTAGGTCCGACAGAACGGAAGATTATCTGCATCTCTGCAAATATACCTAAGAATTTTAATTGTCAGATGTGACTTTGACTATTTTTTGTATGATTTTGAACATTTTTTTATGTTTAATGGTAAGTCTATGGACCTGTTACATGGTTACACACCTCCATGCTTCAATAGAGAAATTAAGTGTATACAGAAATGTAAAGATTGATTTTTGTCTTGAGAATTATTTAGGCTACATTAATAATGTTCACATTCTTCAGGGATCTCCATGGATGAAAGTTTAACGATGGAGGAACTTTCACCATGACAAAACCCTGTGTCTACTGTGTGGCGTGATCGAAAGTTTTCATTCCTCCATTTCCATGTAAGGAATGGTGAACAGACTGATATATTGCTTATTAATATTATATTTATTTCATTATAGAATAACCAACATTTTCATTAATTGTCATTTGTAACAATTCCAATGCCAAGTCTGCATGGCTACCCCTTATCAGAGAATGACCACAAGCTGTCCTTAAGAATCCAAGGTTCTTGCTAATTTAGTAATAGTTAAGGGCTTAACAATCGGGAAGTTCTTTTTTCACTGTCAAATTCAGAAGTCATGAACCGGACGATTTGCAGCATCAACAAGAAGAAATTTCGTACTCATTTTGTAAAACGTTGCAGAAAGACTTGGAGGGCAAACGTTTACATCTTAAAAGGTTTTAATGACTTTAAATTGCAAATTTCATAGTTACACATGTATATACTATGCAACATGCATCTTTCCATTCTGAATGTAAAACCGGATGTATCAATTTGATTATAAACTTCAAAATGAATTCAGAATTACGATACGAAATTTCTACAGATTATCAAGTTGCAGTTAATATTCATGTATTTACTTTTAAACTTGTAAAGTGATTCAATATTATTGATAATTGCTGTACTCATGCTTTTTGGCATAACATAATGTTCTGTTTTACGCCTTATTTTGTTCTCGTTTAAAAGGGGGAATGCTGATTGCGTTAGTCAATATAAAAGCATGTTTTCGACTTATTAAACCTTTTTTATTTGTCACTGGATTTAAAATTTATTTTTTAGGTCTAATTTGTCATTAGCATTTGCTGAAACGTAATCAAATAATGCAATCAATCATCTATCTTGATCAAGTGATCTCCTGTCAGGAGGGTCGATCTACCTGTACAAGTGATTAGGGAGCTACCATTTGATTTTTATGGCAGGGTAGGATGAAAAATTTTGTCCTTTTTGTTTTTTTAGTTGTAATCTCTGTCCTGCCTTTTATTTTTCACTCTGTTAGGCCCTGCCTTTTTTTTTAAATAGTTTATCCTGACTTTTTTACATAAATTGTCATATTATTATTCAGGTTATTGTATTGTTCTCTGCTATCAGTCTTTTGTCACATTGTGTATATATTATGTACTGCCATAGCATGTTCTGTATGCTTTTGCAAATAAATATTCATTCATTCAATATAACATTGTGATCCATGTTCATGGTGGTACTCATCCTGAATATGCCTGAAATATTTGACACACATCATTCACTAAGTCTATTCTCGAGCTGTTTTTTATTAATTAGTTACACCGGTTGACCTGATGTCAATCAGCATAAACTACATCATCCAACAATCAGTTCTTACTGTGACTTAATAACAAAAGCATCGTGACATTGGCAATTTACGGGAAAGTGCACAAATTTGATAGTCGTCTATTGAACAAACTACATGTACATGCAGCATTTTTTTCAAAGATCATATATTCAAATCTTAAAACTGCCATAAATATACTATCTTTCTATTTGACCTACTATGTTACCAGGGAGACAAAATTAATATTTGGGTGGGGAATAACAAACAAAACCACGCCCACGTTAACAATGAACAACATCAAGACCGGGAATTTTTTTATACCTGGGAGATCTTTTTCAATTCGGAAATTATCTGAAAAGAACCAGTTGCAATTATCTAGTATCCCAGATGTAGCAGGTCCTCCTAGACAACTGATCCATAGACCGCAATCACAGTTTGTTGCTGAACACTGACATAAGGTGTCTTGTTTGTTGACAAAATGTAACCAGTTTGGCATTGCAAAACACACAATCGTAGCCACAGTCGTGATTAACACAAGTAAAACTGCTGTAACAACTAAACAAGAAGCCATTTCTATCGTCTGTTGATCTGTAACTAACAAACTATTGTGTATTTGTCAATTTTGTGTAAGACAGTTTTTCTTTCCTTTATATTTCTTCTGCTTCGGTGCTTTTGTACACTTCCGGTGTCTTTTAAGGCATTTCCGGTTATAGTCTCTTTCAACTTTCGTTGAATTTGAACTATGAATTTGAACTATTTCCGTAGCTCTCCGAACTTTACCGAAACACTTCAAGATGTAGATGAAATGTGTATGCAATATATGGGGAAGCCCTTTTTCAACGGATTTTTACAGTTTGTTCTTATGTTGTACTATACACCTTATCGCTATTTATCCGCCATTACTGGACATCACACAAGTTCCCGTAAAATTTTGACGTCATAATAGAAAATATCTGACGCCACAATGGAAAAGTGATTGTTGTATGACGTCAAAAGTTCGAGCGGGACTGATTCTCGGGTCAAGCGGGATTAGCGATAAGGTGTATTACACCTCTGTCCAAGGTTAGGGGAGGGTTTTGCGCCAACAAACTCATGAGTTTAAACTCGCCACATTCTGTATGTGCCGGGTCCAAGTCAGGCCTCGGAGCCTGTAATTCAGTTGTTGTCGTTTGTTGCTGTATATCATATTTGTTTTTCGTTTATTATTTTGTACATATATCAGGCTGTTAGTTTTCTCGTTTGAATTGTTTTACATTTGTCATTTAGGGGCCTTTTATAGCTGACTACGCGGTATGGGTTTTACTCATTGTTGGAGGCCGTGTGGACGGTGACCTATAGCTATAGTTGTTAATTTCTGTATCGTTTGGTCTCTTGTGGAGAGTTGTCTCATTGGCAACCATCTTCTTATTTTTGTCTCATTGGCACTCATACCACATCTTCTTATATCTATTCGAAAACTTATTTGCACTTATTTAACATGCTTTATGTTTTTGCTTTTATCCGTATACGACCTTGGCCATGATTACAATTACTGTAGTTTACATGTGGAATAGCAGTGACACTGGGAACTCGTACCCATGTTTGGGGTAGAATAGTAGATTGTCCAACTGGACTGCTCACTAAATCACCGGCACTTCTTGTCTCTGGATATTTCTTTTACTTACAGGTCTATATAAGGTACATAGGTAAAAAAAAATCAGAGACAAAAAACTAATCTCAAGTGTGTATCAATTATCCAGAGATCCGGAGAACTTTGTCGAAGCTAAAACGCTAGCTGTAACTAGTTGGCTTCCTCCGCCAATAAAACTGACTGACCGCCATTAAATAACCAAGAGTGAAGAAAGTGGCGTAAAACACCAGGAAACGATCGATCAATCAACTTTGACCACTATTTTCACATAGGCAAAGCTAAGCACAATTGTATTTTATAAATAATGGCCTGAATAACACAGTACGAAAAAAAGAAACACACGCACACACATATACAAGCATAACAATTTTTACAATATACCGTATCAATAAGAATGCGTGCAATTATTGAAAGTAGCCTGTGACGCAAAGCACTTAACATCACTCTAATATTTGTGGGTATAATGTATACTTTTTACGTCTTTATGCAACTTAACAATGTTAAACTGCATTTGCAAATTAATATCCCTCCTACACATTGAGACATCATCGACAATATCAAGCACGAAACCGCTGTGACCAGACCATAAACCACACACTCGACCAAAGAGATTTGTATTTTTAACCGCGAATGGGGCAATTCTTCGTGAATGCATTGAATATATTCTAGGTTTTTATTGTTACTTTTTTCAAGAAATTTTCAATTTTAATGAAAAAAAAGTTCAGCCATGATTGCGGTGTTTTTTTTTTTTTTTTTTTTTTTTTTTTCCTGTTTTTTGATGCGTGAATATTGATATTTTCCATATATTTTTTTCTGCTGAGCAAAAATAAACAGAGTGCACATGAAAATCACAGAGAATTGCTCGAAAAGAATGGCGTGCTCGCTATGGAATTTTCAATGCTAAAGGGAGGAAAATTTCGTTGCGAAGTTTGCTAACGTTGAGTATTTCAACCCTAATTTGTGGAAGTCATTAAAAAAACTTGTGTTCAAACCGTTCAAATACATGTTTTGGAAGTTTTAAGAGAGTTGGAATGAACATTTTACATTTTACTTATTTCTAGCGGCTGCATTCGTCACTTGAACAAATCCAAATGTTATTGTATAAGGGTCCCCTTTTTATATTAGGGAAATTTCCCTTGAAAATTATATTTCGACCCTTCAGTAAATCTGTATCGGAGTGCTTGCAATTTTAATGGTTTAGTTGACGATCCATGTAAGAGGTTCGAATAACTGAAAAATAATATATTTTATTTTTTACATAGGGTTTTTATATAAATTGAAATCTGTTTCATTAATTAGGCAAATGTCCATAAAATAAGCCATTCTTATAGCTTTCTAAATTTGGTTTTGTGGTTTGTTCAGCCTTAAAAGCCGTATGATGCATGACTTCAAATGTTGCTGGGTCAATATATTTGGAGTTATATCCTGTATCAATATTTGTATATAAAATATGATTTCCCAGTAATGACATTTCATAAAATATTTCATATCACCATAAAACAAAACTGAACATGCGAGTTTAACAGTACAAATTTCATCAAAATCGGACCTCAAATAAATTTTTGAAAAAATTTTTATATGAAATATATGGGGAATTTCCCAGTAGTGAAACACTGTTGACCTATAGATAACCTTTAACAATAAAGCCACATTTTATCATGTAAAATCTTTAATTTTCTGTTGGTTATTGTTTACCACGTGATGTTGTCACAAACATTCATATCAATGAAAACCGGTTATCACTGGAAGAACTTGCCACTATCTATACATTGAATCTGTCGAAATTAAATTGCTAATAATTTTTTTAAAAGTAATTATCATTATTATTTTGTTTAGATATAAATTAGATAACACGCAGTCTGGGAGGATGACAAAGCTGATTGTTACTCCGTGCCCTAAGTTGACAATGTTTTTGAGGGTTAAAAATCTTTCTCTAGCACCTTCTCACCTACATGTATGTGTTGTTCAATTGATTACTAGTATACTGAATGCTCTGTTGTTGTTGTTGTTGTTGTTGTTGTTGTTGTTGTTGTTGTTGTTGTTGACTTTCGTGTTTCATGCAAACTACGATGTACTGTACTATAACATGCATCACAAAATTACTTTCATTTACCTGTGTTAAAAGTAATTGCAAATGGCTGATATTTTTGTTCAAGCATATTGTTTTTCTTAAATTGTTTAACATTTCACAGCGGTATAACATGTTACTTTAATTATTCTTCCCTTAGTTTATTTATTTTGTATTTACATTGTATCATAGATCAAATTTATTTGTTCAGTGTATGTTCACTGGTGTTAATATGTCTTTTGATTGAGTTAAGCCATTTCAATTGATATTTTATAGTGTGTCTTTCTATGTTGTGATGTTACACTATTGTTTCAGATATAAGGGTGAAGGTTTGGTACCATTAAAACGTTTAAACCCGCTGCAATTGTTTGCACCTGTCCTAAGTCAGGAATCTGATGTTCAGTAGTTGTCGTTTGTTGATGTGGTTCATAAGTGTTTCTCGTTTCTCGTTTTTTATATAGATTAGACCGTTGGTTTTCCCGTTTGAATGGTTTTACACTAGTAATTTTTGGGGCCCTTTATAGCTTGCTGTTCGGTGTGAGCCAAGGCTCCGTGTTGAAGACCGTACTTTGACCTATAATGGTTTACTTTTATAAATTTTGACTTGGATGGAGAGTTGTCTCATTGGCACCCATACCACATTTTCTTATATCTATTCATGTCCGTTTTAACTTTGACAAATCTGCTAGCAATTCTTTAATGATATCATATATATATAGGCGATGCCAAAGCAATGCATGACTTCTAAGTGGATGATGTGTCATAAAATAGAAGTTCTTTCATAATGAAAGTTCCAAAATGGAAGAAATATTATGTAAGCTAATTTTCACTGAAACAAATATTACAGTACAGAATATTTGTTCCTACACGGAACAGATATTATGGCATTGTTTGCAACAAAGTTTCCAGGGGAACTTCTGTTAGATATATTAGGTGGAACAAATATATGTTGACAGATACACTAATCGGGTCCTAACAGTCAGTTAGTAATGTTTCTGTCTAGTAATAACGAGATAAAAAGATACAATTTGTTTTGGTCGTGTGTTTAGTTTCGTTTTAAAAGAGAGAGGAGAAAGATACCAAAGGAACATTCAAACTCATATATCGAAAACAAACTGACAATGCCATGGCAAAAAAAAACACCAAAAGACAAACAACAGCATACAAAACAAAATATAGAAAACTGAAAACTGAGCAACACGAACCCCACCAAAAAAAGCAGATCCTGCCCTATATAAAATACGTTGATAAGTTATATCAACTGATTAGACATCATGCAATATAGTGGATTGGTAATTGACTCTTATCTAACACTAAGACATCATCAAATTATCGATCATTGGTCATGTAAAATTTTCTAAACCCGAAACTTGACCGAATGTGAAAGTTTGAAATAGTGTTTGTTTTGATCAAGTAAATATTTCTTTCTTTTTCTGTATGCTGCGTAAGATACCGAACTATGTTTGAAAGGTTCTTGTCCCTATCCAATATAACCTCTTTTTCCAGTCGCAGTCTGAATTTCTTTCTTTACAGAATTATTGTGAGCCAAAATTTGTTTCCTGTGGAAAACGTTTCAGTGGAATAAATATCACAGGAAATATATTCTGGGAGAACCTTTTTCACAGATAATTTCTATATAATTTGTTCCATCTCTATGAAATAAGTTCCACAATTTACCTGGTGAAATAAGTTCTGGGTTTGTGAAATTTGTTCCTTAGGGAGCTACCATTTGATTTTTATGGGGGGGGGGGGGGCTAGGATGAAATTTGAAAAAAATAGGCAGGACAGGAGTTTTGAGTAAAAAAAAAGGCAGGATGAGATTATTTGCAAAAAAAAAAAGGCAGGATGACAATTTATGTAAAAAAAAAAAGTCAGGATAAACTAAAAAAAAAGGCAGGACCGAATAGAGTGAAAAATAAAAAGGCAGGACCGAATAGAGGGAAAAATAAAAAGGCAGGACAAAATTTTTCATCCTAGCCACCCCCCCCCCCCCCCCCCCCCCCCCTCATAAAAATCAAATGGTAGCTCCCTTACCTGGTGAAATAAGTTGAGGGTTTGTAAGATTAAATTTTTTGTTCCTTACCTGGTGTAATAAGTTCCTTGTCTGTGAAATATGTTCCACTGGTAATGCAAGTTATATTTAATACTGAGCATTGTCATCAGTGAGTTTATTTTTTCATTCAAGTACATTAAAAAAACATGTATTATATTGATAATGTAATTTATAAAGTGTAAACATCCAATATGGATCCTGTGGAGTATAGCAAAATGTTTTGTTACATTATCACAAGAATACTTGGTAATAAAATGTCGGCCACATATTGGTCTTATCCTTCTTTACAGAATTATCACAAGAATATTTAGTAATAAAATGTCGGCCATATACTTGTAGAATTTGGAAATAATAATAACAAAGATCAATTTAGGAAAATTAATGTTTAATTAATAGATTCTAGAAACATACATACTGTTTTATACATTTACACTCAACACGCATGTCATCTCTATTGTCTCTCTTTTGCTCTCCAAACACAACTCACTCACACGTACACTCCTTAGATTTTCAATCCATAAATAATACACTGTACAAATCACACCGACACTGTTCTCACTCACAAAGACTATTAAGCTGCCTCATACAGACATATATACTCTTATTCTCCCAATCACACAAACGCATACATGTATATATATATATATGGTAATATATAATAAAATCACACGTAGTCATGATCCATCCATAAAAGAACCGATAAAAATCTCATCAATGTTTATGTCCTCTTCAAGTTGTCAGCGGATTTGCAAAAGAATCCCCATCTTTTCTGATTCCATGGATTTGGCTTATACCACCCAAAGGCAACCTTTGATTCGTCTGTGGCAATCTTCAACTTAACAACCATCCCTGAAAGTTACAAAAGGGCCAGTTTATTGTTTGTATATCATATATAGTATTTTCCAATGAAATATAAAACACATTCTTTATTCCCTTGTAAACATACCATTTAATAATTTGGTATTATATACCTCATTTTTACTGAAACGCTTTAGCTGTTTTATAATACAGTGCATGTGATAAACTTGGCGCAGAATTTATTTTGGTGATATTGGCATACCCGCAAAAAAAGTCAAATTGAACACTCCGTGAAAATAGAGCGCTAAACTTTCATTAATTTCATTTTTTGGTACCTTTCCGCTGGTATTCCAATCATTCAAAACCCTATATATTCAACCGGGTTTTTTTTTCAATTGTTACAGCTCTCTGTTCTCTCAAAATTTTGACACATAATGTCCCGAAGTCACCTACTACTAAAAATAGCACTCGACTTTCTGAAAACCTTTAATAAACATACTATGTAGCACATCTACCCTAAAGTTGTAATGCAAATTCACAGACACACAATGTTTTAGTTCTCATTTAGCAAATTTTCATTAATGCAAATTTATTTGTTAGTTTGTTAGTAAACAACAACACCAAAATCTCTTAAGAGCTTGACATATTGTATAGATACTTGACTATTGTTGAGCAATCATATGTAGTTACTGACGTCTGTAAAAATAAATTCATTAAATCTTTTTCATTAAAAAGACTAATTTGTAAAGTCCTCTAGATCTCGTTTGGTAATATTTTTGTTGTTGAGTTGTTATCTCATTGGCGTATATCCACATCTCCTTTTATTCATGTGTCAAAATAAATACAATTTCCTTTACTAATTGAAATGTCACCAGAGAAAAATGGTACAGATACTGTGTCTTCTTCAGTTGTTAACATTTGATTTGAAAATAACAGTTTGGCCTCTAGGTGTCTCTTATGGTCTTATTATGTTCATTGACGTATTCTTCACACCTCATCTTATTCATATGTTTTTTCTGATTGTCATTTGTTTTGGTTCGAGCATATTTGAAACCCTGATAATTACTTTACCATGTTTACCTTTGGTTATTTTGACAAAGCACTCGTTGGGTTTCTCTGACAAATCTTTTGTTTTCACATAAGTGTTGCTTAAAAATTTGAACTGGTTGTCGTGGTTACTGACGTCTGTAAAAATAAATTCGTTAATTTTTTTTCATTAAAAAGACTAATTATTCTACCATAAATATACTGTAGTTGTAAGCATGTAGCTCTTCGGACAGTACCGTCTATGCTTTTACCCAAAATATTACAGGTGATATATAATGTGTTCTGTGATTCGCTCCGGGGATGTGAAATCCTGCACAGTTGGAAATTGACACAAATTAAGTAATTTTGCATAGATTTACAAGAAAAAAATAAGCTTGACACATTTCTACTAAGAAAACCACGGTGAACTATAGATGTCTTTTGGGTGTTACGTGTCGTTGAATTGCTGCCACGTTAAATATCACAAAAAAATAGCCGATGTAAGCAATGATTCAAAATGATAACATGAACTACATGTACAATAGATAACTGACTTACTATTATTATTACGTTGTTCTTTTGTCTGCTCAGATTGAGGCTCAGATGGTTGTTTCGTCATTATCTGTATATATGTTTTGCAACTTACAAATCGTATATCTGGTAACTTGGCATTAAATCCGTTTGCAATGTGAAATTCCTATATGAAAATGGTCAAAGTTATCAGTTATTCCACCAAAATTTACAAATAACAAAATGTGTATGTTTTTAAATGATAAAATATATGCGCACAGTAACAAAAAGATATGATAAACAATAGATGTATTCAAGTCTGTAATTCTTAAACTTATGAATATTTTAGTACAAAGTCATTACAACAAATATCACTTAGCGTTTGTTTGGTTTGCCTAGCACCTGCCGAAAGAGACGTTGGGCAACTGTGCATTGATAATTTTACATTAAGGACGTTATACCTTTATTGGTATTTTGGTATAAACTTGAATAATGTTGATATTTTGGGAATAATTTTGAGGTAAACTTGATGGTTATGATACTGTGTTATTATGTGTCGTTTCTTTGTTGTTGGTGTGTGTGTTGTTTGTTTGTTTGTTAATGGATTATGTATCCATGATTGAAACGTTTCTGTGATAGTACTCGTGCACTTGACACAATTCTCCATAAACAAAGGTGCTGTTGTCTGTTCTATGGTCGGGTTGTTGTCTCTTTGACACATTCCCCATTTCCATTCTCAATTTTATTAAATATTCACAGGTGACGGTGCATATTCTGCTAAGTATAGAAAACTGTTCTGAACCTAAATTATACATGTCAATTTGTTAAGTTTTAATATAAGAAGTTAAAAAGTTACTGTTGAGAAGAAAAAACCTGTTTACCTGTGGTGAACTATATTGGTATTTGGAGCTAAGCTTCTCTATAATTGATTCTGCAGCCAATCGGCAGTCAAACTCGTCAATGTGTGGAAGTATTTCATACAGTCTAGAAGACAAATAATGTTACAATGTATCAATCAGAACTGAAATGTTTGTTATTCCCTGACAAAGAAATGCGATCGGTTTATGTTTCTGAAAATATTCCTTTCAAAATATGATGTACTTCAAATTCATAACTTACTTATTAGTTTGTGTGGCTATGATGTACTTCATATCGATAACTTACTTATTAGTGTGTGAGGCTATGATGTACTTCATATCAATAACTTACTTATTAGTTTGTGAGGCTATGATGTACTTCATATTGATAACTTATTTATTAGTTTGTGAGGCTTTGATGTACTTCATATCAATAACTTACTTATTAGTTTGTGTGGCTATGATATACTTCATAGATACTAGTCCACTCTGAATACGATCTATCAAGTTGAATGTAATATCGTCCAATAGATTCCTTTCAATCTAGAAAAAAAATATCATTTAAAAAACCCATAGCAATACCTAAATATGATATTGACTATTCAAGTTGAAAGTACAAATTAATTATCACCCACATTTCTAAGAGCTACTCTGCACTGTGAACGTCGAATTCATTGTGTTCCTTTTTTAAAGTTTTTACAAGTGTTTTTCTTTAAATTTGTTTTCTTTGAATAAAAACAGTTGACGAAAAGTGCAAACCAAGAAATGGTTGATTGTTGTACGAGAACCGATAACATGGTTGATTGGTGTACGAGAACCGATAAAATGGTTGATTGGTGTACGAGAACCGATAAAATGGTTGATTGGTGTACGAGAACCGATAACATGGTTGATTGGTGTACGAGAATCGATAAAATGGTTGATTGGTGTACGAGAACCGATAACATGGTTGATTGGTGTACGAGAACCGATACAATGGTTGATTGGTGACGAGAACCGATAAGATGGTTGATTGGTGTTCTAGGCAAAGTGGCGTGTTAGATAGATAGATAGATACTTTATTCTCTAAAAACTAAATACAAGTTTACAGAGAAAGTACAATATAAATACAAATACAATAGTTGAGGGTAAACAGATGCAGTACGATAATGCAAAATGAAGTACAACATTATGATGACATACATGTATAACAAACGGTTAAATTAAATATGAAGAAATCAGTCCGGTGCTTTACGTTTACATGGTGGGACTAATCTTTTATTACTACACTTAATGCATGAACACAGTTTTTTTTTTAAACTGACTGTTTTTTTAGTATTAAACAGTGATAAAATTGACATTTTATTTGGACTATGTGAAAATTTCCTTTGAAGAATGATATTCGTTTGTTCTGCAATAGAGAACAGCAAAACAAATAATGAAATCCATCACCTATATCAACGGAATAACATAAATCACATTTCCTTTCACTACGATCAATGTTTTGCCATCTCCATTTTCCATAGGCAACGCATGGTTACCTGCCCTAAATTCAAATAAAAATAATTTGTCATCTAGAATGTTTAGATAACTCTCAAAGTTTAACGTATTCTTGAACAGCCTGCAGTTTATACATTTTGTAGAATTTTGTATCGACGAGTACCAATTCTGCTTGTATTGATCAATAAGCCTTATTTTGATGCTCTGAATTAGCCATTTTGAGAAATGTACATTTTGTAGTTGGAATATATTTGAAAATCCACACATGTTTAGGTTATCTTGAACCTTCGTTATCTATCTAATTATTAATTTTTACAGTGTGTTGATAGAACGCAATCTTGTAAGTCAATCTTGTAAGTCATTGACGACAATTTGTTTTCGTCTGAACATAGTTTGCACCAAAACGAGAGTATTCTACATTTAATACTGATGTCTAGTGGGTATCTCTGCACGTTTCACCATACACACTATTGTTGAGTGTTGACTTTTTAGGGTGCAATATATGTTTAAAAAAATTCCAAATTTCACATCCGTACAGTAAGATCGGTTTTACTGTTTTGTCAAACAGATCGAGTAGAAATTTTAATGAAAGATTAAATAAACGACTTATTTTAATAACTCCATACATGGCTTTCGTTGCAATGAACCATTTTATAGGTGCGTATACACCAATATACCATTTCACCTTTCACAATTTCTATGCATTTAATGACTACATATTACTGTTTTCTGATTTATAATTGACCTTTGAAGAAATTAAGATTTAAAAATTTCTATTTTTTCTGTTATACTCACCAGCAGTAAAGCATTTCTTGCTGTTTTCTCTTTTGTTATTAAAGTTTGGTATCTTTTGGCAGTTTCTGCTGCTTTCTGCTTTTTATCATTTAGTGTTTTCTGCAAATATCTAATGCTGTCATCTCGCTCTTTCAACTTTGATCTGGATAGTTTGTCTGCCATGTGATTTCGTGACATCTCGGCCGTCTTCAAGCATAATTCGTATGTCTGCACCTTACTGTTAGCAATCCAACATATCTTTAAATATAAAACATTTTTGTATTTAGTTAAGCCATATACAAACTACATTATCTTAACACTTGCTGCAAATATGTGTTCGAACAAAAAAATTTTGAGTGTGGAAAAAATGTACATAGCTTATATACTAATGCTTCTAAAATGGTTTTATATTGGAGTACTTAGAAAAGCAGAAGCTAAATTTTAGCCTTCGACAAGAAGGGGAAAACAATAAAAGGCACATAAGCAATATCTTCATTTTCTTAATTGTTAACAATAGCTCTTGAAAATATTTTTTATTTAAACTAACCACTTGCAAAAAAAATGTTATTTACAAAAGTATGCTGTAATGAATTACCTCTTGTTGTCTTTTAATTTCTCTGTAAATGTGTTTGTGTGTCCTCATCAGTTTATACATTTCATCGACATCAGCATAATATTCTTCAGTTTTTACATGATCAAATCTGAAAATATATGATTTTTTATGGTAACTTACTTTCGTAAATATATAGCATTTTAATCAAAACTTTTGTGTATTTGAAGTAGAACTCTATTCCTGTATTACCTTTCAAAAATGTATCAGAGATGAACTTTGTAAGTAGGACTTAATTGTTTCTTATCCAGTTAAAGCAATATATATATTTAATCTACATGTTTATAGAATATTTTTTTAAACAACTATGCACAGGTTTCACATTGTCGGAAAATACAGTAGGACATGTTTTCATTCAAATCAAATGTTTTTGCCTTCGTGTACAGCAGATTTGTGTCTATCGTTTCTGATTGCAATTGCAGTACAACGGATATTGTAATCTTTTACAGTAGATTGGTCTCTGTGTTACCTGTTCAAGCATCTACAATACCGATAGCCGGTAATATCGGAGTGTTTCCTCAAGTACAATGACAATTGCTTCAATCGAAAATTTACAGCAGATTGTAGTTACACTTTGATATAAGTCGGTAACTTTTTTATTAGCCCGACATATCTTTTACATACCGGAAGGATATTTTAAAAATTCATGCATTTCTTAGTTTAACGAAAACTCTTAAGAGTATAAATACAAGAAAACAACTTTTCTGTTTTCTCTCTAAATCATACAACTTACGTTGGAATTGGTTCAATGCTGTTAGATGAAGAAACCAGTTTAAGGAATTTGTTCTGGATCCTTTCAGCAACGGACTTCCTACTACTAACACTGTCTATCTGCCTACTACTAACACTGTCTATCTGGTGTGATTCGACAACACCCAACACCATCTCAGTCAGGAGATAAAGTAATTTGTTTATTTCTGGAAATTCTGGGGGGAAAATTATGCAACTAAATTACTAAATAGATATAAACTTAAATGATACAATAAAATACAACAACAGCTAAAAAAAAGGAAAAACGGTCAATTTGAATATAACAATTTGGCAAGTTCCAATTGCTTTCTCCGTTCACTTTACCTCGAAAGTCTATTTGGTCATCCCTAGCTTGTTAAGTTTGAGTTTGTCATTTAGATTTGCATTCACAAATAACATACAAAAATTCCGTTTGAGAAAATAATAGTATGGTGACTAAATGTGGTAATTTCTTCTTTGATATTCGTACAGCTATGGCTAAAAAGAAACGAAAACGAAACAATTTCGCGTTTTTGCTATATGGAATATCAAATTTCAAAAACGCAAAAAGACCACATCCGGCCAAAACACTATTCCGTATTTTTACTCCCAAAGAAAGATGATTTTTTTTAGGAGTCGGTAAATCCATGTTTCATTGAAATGCTCTCCATTATGTGTACAGGCTCTGCAGTACAACTCGGTGGAAGTATAAGTTACACTACAGAAGTGATTTCATGATATATTTCTTTAGCATTGTGATTTTTCTCATTATCTTGAGATTGCATTACGTAAAATCTTACCCGTATTGTCTCTGTAAGTCACCATTTCCTGCATGATGCTATGTATTTGTTGTCTTGGAAAATCTGAAGTTTCCGAATGGAAAGTCACCTCAAGGGACTCGCTGATTGTAGCAAATACGTCAATTCTAAACAAGAAAAAACGAATTATGCTTATTTATCTAAAATTATTTATGGACATATTCTTGAACTTATTGTTTTAAGAACGATTTCACTGCCTGTGGTGAGCAGAAATTGTTCTCGTTTATAAGTCTACAGATCATTTGTTTTAACAATTTATTAAATTCAGGAAATAATAATAAGATTACGTACACCCCCTCCCCCCTAAAAAAAATGAAGCAAATGACAAATGTTGACGATGAAAAATGTATAGCGGACCGTGAAAAGGTATATAGATATAAGAAGATGTGGTATGAGTGCCAATGAGACAACTCTCCATTCAAGTCAAAATTTATAAAAGTAAACCATTATAGGTCAAAGTATGTTCTTGTTTTTCTTTTTTCCAATCATGTTGTGCATAATATTGTTGTAAAATGATGCCCTTTATGGGTTCTTGATTAGATTAATACAATTCTTATCTTATATGGACAGAAGAGTCAAAACAATGAAAAAAGACATAAAACTGCTGAAAAATTTCTCAAAACACTTACGTTCTGTGTGAAAGTGAAGTAATGCTGTAAATATCTGGAAAATAGACACAATCCATTTTCTTTTCTTTGATTTCTCTAAAAGACTGCTACTCAGAATTTTCTTGCTGGGCTTTCCGTCGTAGCGAGGGAAAGATAGCCCGGATGTTAAATAGAGGTAACGTCATAATCTGAACGTCTTCTTGTTGGACGTTGGAACAAAGCGGAAAGACAGAACGTCACAATTAAGGCGGTGGAAATGTTGTTAGTAACATTTCGAGGGTTCAATATTATTCATGTTGGCCTAATCTTTTTGTTGGAGAACTATCATTATTCATAACTTTAACAAGATGCTGAAATATTTGAAAAGACTTTAAAAAAAAACCGCAACAGACAATATTATTCTTGCAAAATATTTTCTATAAAATATTCCGTAATTACTTAGTTGTGAGTTAATAAGTTTAGCCAAAATTTACAACCAATGCCAATCAATTTGTTTCCATTAGTCAGTTTTGGTCAAAGGTTCTTTGTTTTGAAACCGCTTATTGCTGGTATTTTTTCATGGTCTGAGGTAAAAAAATAAAACACAAAAAATATGTTCATATAATCAAAAAATAAAGTTTAGTCATATACGTTAAAGTAGTTTACATTTATGATTAAGACTGGCATTTAATAAAACCAAAGACTGACATGGAACAAAAGAAAAATAATGCTTTTATTTTTTGAAAGTTTTTCCATCGCAATTTGTATCAGGTTTTGTATAACGGGATTCATTGCTGAATATTTATGCCTACAAAGTGTGTACTTTTAGTTATTTTGTTCTTAAGAAGGGAAAATTATTTGCCTATATTAGCGTTATATACCGAAAAGATTAAGCACGATTTGCATGTTTTGATAAAAAATCTTTCAGCGGTTCCATTCAAGACATGTTATTGCTGCTGTTAAAAGGGTCGTGCGTGTGTACTTCCAAATTAGATAATGCAATATTCAGAGTTTAAGGATCTTATCTGAAATCTAATCAAACCTTTATTTGGCACAAGTATCAGCTTTTTCAAAATTCTTGTCTGACCCTGTCAACTATTATGTTAAGGGATATTACATACGCCTATATAGAACTTTGTATCACTTGTAATCGTTTTTATGGTACGACGTTTATTCTTGATTCTTTACAATACATACATCTTGAAACTTTTATTCTTGAATCTTCACAATATTACATAAATGAATCGTTATCTAGTTCAAATTTAAATCTACTACTCTGACGATGCAATTTGAACTTTCTCGAGATAAAAGAGAGGCGGAAGACTCCAAAGGTATATTCAAACTCATAAGACGAAAACGAACTGGCCGGTTGAATTCCATGGCACATAACCAAAAGACAAACAGACATTAGTCTACAAATAGAGAACTTTAAAGAATGAGCAACACGAACCCCACCAAAAAAAGGGGTGATCTCATGTGCTTCCTTTTCGCTCAAAATTATTACACAGACCACCTGAATCACTGACCCTGTTCATATACATTGTTTCCTTCCAATTTATCTAATATTTATCTCAGATTGTCCCGTGATTGTCACATGTTGTAAAAGTTCTGTAGTTGATTGTTAGATGATTAATAGGCATTTTATGACATTCTTTCTGAGATTTCGGTTCGACTTGAACGTACAGTGATGTTACAGTGTCTGTTCTTTGGGAAGGCCTCACTGTGACATTGAGATGAAGAACAGTAATAAATACATTGTTACCTTGTATGTGGGTTGACAAGTGCGTGTATATTGACTGTGTGTCATGTTTCCTATTCCGTTATTTTGAATAGATATTTGTTTATACCGATATGAGACAGTGTCTTGTTTTATGGGGTGGCTGTTGGTTGATGGAAGCACAAACGTGTAATACGACCGGGGTTTTACAACAATGCTTGTACGTTAAATCCATCCCATAGAACTAGAGATAAAGGATACTACAGATACAGTTAAGTCTGCCTCATATCTTGACTTACATCTAGAAATTGACAATGAGGGTCGGTTGAAAACTAAACTTTACGACAAAAGAGATGATTTCAGCTTCGCAATTGTGAATTTTCTATTTTTATGTAGCAACATTCCAGCAGCGCCTGCATACGGAGTATATATCTCCCAATTGATACGATATTCCCGGGCTTGTATTTCCTATCATGATTTCCTTGTAGAGGATTGCTGCTCACAAGGAAGCTATTAAACCAAGAGTTCCAAATGGTGAAGTTGAAATCATCCCTTCGTAAATTTTACGGACGCCATCACGAGTTGGTTGACCGTTATGGAATAACCGTTTCACAGATGATATCGGATATGTTCCTTATGTCGTAACTACAATACCCTTCCCTTTTCACGAATGTGACCTACCGAATTAGACTATTTACCGGATTTGTAATAACATAAGCAACACGACGGGTGCCACATGTGGAGCAGGATCTGCTTACCCTTCCGGAGCACCTGAGATCACCCCCAGTTTTTGGTGGGGTTCGTGTTGCTTAGACTTTAGTTTTCTATGTTGTGTCATCTGTACTACTATTTGTCTGTTTGTCTTATTATTTTTGGCCATGGCGTTGTCAGTTTGTTTTCGATCTATGAGATTGAATGTCCCTCTGGTATCTTTCGTCCCTCTTTTGAAGCTGAATTAAACCGACTTTTCGTATTTTCGAGAAAAAAATGAGTGATCTGTGGAAGTTTGATGTAAAAAAAACCATTTAATTTTGGCCCACCGATGAATTACATGTGGCAGATCCAATCATTTTATAAAATGTCAATCCAACGACCAAAATAACCAAAAGACATCAAGAGGTCCGAGTTGTGTGTTAATTAAGCAACCAAAGATCTTCCATCGACACCAAATTCCGCAAAAATAAGAAAACCACAGTCCGGTACAATCTAGCTATTTTCATTGTTTGAAATGTTTTGCAATGATTCATTATTTTTTAGAATTCGTCTAGCAGTATGTAGCTTTATATAGTATCAGAACCTTTTTTGAACTCATCACACGAGTGTCTATTATGATTATGCTCTTTTGTGGCAGTGTATAATGAGTGTCGGAGTAAATGATCGTAGTTCGTACTCACTGTACGTATCTGTTATGCCGGTATTGGATGCTCATCCAATTTTGTCAAAATGATGGAACTATATATAAGCACCTGTCTTAAATGGGCAGTTTAGCTAGCTTTAAAACCAGGTTTAACCCACCATTTTCTGCGGAAACTGTACCAAGCCAGGAATATGACATTTGTTTTCCTTTTGTTCCGTTTGTTCATGAAGTCTAACGTTTGATTTTGTCAGTTTTTATGGACTTCCCTTTTTTGAATTTGAACCTTGGAGTTCGGTTAACACTTTTTTACTGTGTGTTTAAAATCTGTGTTGCTATATTCTGAGCAAATGGATTATAACTAAATTACAAGTGCAATGTATAAAACAAGTTCAATATACAAGTGCATGGATAAATCTTCATCAATTATTTGCTTGTGGTGTTATAAATATAAAATATAAACTCGTTTAAGAATGAATGTTAATGTCGTAGAAACAATAATGTTGACATCAATTAATTAGTATTATATCACGTTTCAACCGTTGTGAATCTAACATCACACATGAAAAATATCCATATAAATAGCAGACTTTCTGCAAAGGTAATAATTTTAATCAAGCTTATTTATTTATGCTGATGAAATTTGCCTGTCGCGAATTTTTGGTATACGTTCATATGTCAACGAAGAATCGTCTATAGTTGATGTGTCTTCCCATGGATCAACAGGTGGCGGTGGAGGCGGTAGTTGGTCAATTTCTTCCAATGACGTCATACTTTTGGCACGCGTTATTACTTGCATATCAACATATCGTCTTGTTCTGAAAATATTTTAGATTCTATAACTTTTAACACTTGTTTTAAATCTACTGCAATTTTGTACTACAGAGGTATAAAAAGATAAGAATATCATTACTGTGTTAGTGTAAACAATATTTTTATAATGAATATATCTTATACAATATGAATTCACGTGGCAAATAGGAGTCAGAAACAAGCCACAAGTGCTTATATTGTCTCCTTACTGTGTTGAAACTGAATTAGACATTGAATACTGCTAGTTTTATGCCACAAAAGGCTATATCGCGGCGACTGAAAAATGTTGCTAATATATCATATATATAAAAAATATTCAAAAATTCTGATGTTCAAAATATATTTTACAAAACGTTTGATAAAGGATAGGTGGTATAAACGTTAATGAGACAAGAAATATATACTTACAATAAAGGTTTGTTTTGCAGTGGAGTCCTGTGCTGCAATGGATGCTCTAAAAGGACAAAAAGTTCTGCTTAATCGTCAAAGACTAAATAAACAACACGCTTATTTCAAATTTATATTTAGCTTACATTTTGTAACATGTTTGAAACGTCAAGATTGAAAAAAAAATGTAGTAAGACGGTTCGGTGTCGAGACATTCTGAGAAGTATAACACATACATAATTTGTCACGTTTTTTAAATTAACTTTTGTCTTTCGGTTACAGTAAACACCGTAGTATTTTTTTCTGCTGTTCAAGAAACCTTTATTAAGTGTCCATGATATCCACATCAAAATTAAAAAAAGAAATAGTGAAAAACAAGTACAATCTACATATATATAATAAGTTCATTTACAATTTATTGTAATGTTTCTTTATTATACTTACTGGGTTTTGATCTACATCTGATGCAGGCAGCACAACAGAGTATTGTTATAACTATTACTGAACCAGTTACAGCCACACATATAATTAACATGTTGTCTGTCAATAGGTTACCTAAAATCGCATTTAACAAATAAAAATTCTCAATGCTCAAATACCAAAACAAAAAACAAACAAAAAACACATAAAAAGTACACAAAACAACACAACACGAAAGCATATAATCTAAGATTCTTGCAGAATGACCATTTCATTCACCTCTTATATTTTGAAATAAAAGATGAAACATTGCGTCGTTTGTTTTTGTTTTTGTTTTTTTCCGCCCACAGAAAACCCTGTGTATGCCATAGTCAATAATGTTTTTTTATAAGTAAATACATTTCTCTGAATCCTGCAGTAAATTAGGGCGACAGTAGTTTACCGATGTTCAAATCTCGTTAATCGATAACGCAGAGACAATTCAAGGTTACAAACAAAACTGAGGGAATCGCACGAACTTCGAAAGAAGTGATACCGAGACCGACTACGTCGACAGGTTAAGAGTCTCTTGTTTTCAATGTATCACCCGCCAAGCAAATTCACACTCAGTCAAACTGTCACATTTGGGAATAGGACTCATTCGGTAAAATTACTGATCAGACGACTTTATTGTTAGCTAAATATCTAAGACCGCGAAAACATGTCGCTAGTGAGTTGAGACACCGACACGTCGAATCGGTCAATTAATTCGTGGTGGTGACCATAAATATAATGTAATGGAGATTTCAGTCGTTCTTCCTCATAACTCTGTTGGAGCAGTTTTGTGTAAGGAACACACATCTGTTCATGAAGTCCGTGTTGTGTGAACATGCACGAGCGTAATATTTTAACTGAGATATGTGAACGCCATACGATTGAGCTGACTATATAACAGGGAAAAAAATGGTTGGGTAACGACTGTCTTACCGTGTATTACAGTTTAAAAAAAAAACGCCATTAATATGAAATTTCATATGCCCTACTTTTCTGAATACTGTGTTGATAGTATTAATTTATTGTAATTCAGATTCTTTATAACCCCTTTAAAGAATCATCAATTCATTTAGTTGTTGTTTGCATATGCGGAAGAAAACACCGATATATAGAAACAATAAAAATAAAATATAAAACAAAAAAACAACAACAAGCAAATAAGCAAACAAAAAAGAAAAAAAAAACCCAAATATATGACAAAATATACCTTTAACCCTTATAGACAGAAACGATTCTATTGATTCAAACTCCGCTGAAGTCCCTCGACATTGGTATTTTCCCTTGTCGTCCGAGTTAATATCAAACAACACAAAATGGCCTTTCTGTGTGTCATCATATGGAAGAAAATTACATCGGTCTCCACCAGTTATTGGATTGTCATCTTTATACCAAGATATCGTAGGAACAGGGTAACCAGACACTTTGCAGTATAGATGTAAAGTGTCACCGTTCTTTACCTCTTTCTGTCCTTCCAGTGTGATCGTGGGTTTAGCTTAAATATTAAAACACGTGACAAAATAATTAAACAGACCTGAATACAAATGTCTAAATATCTCTTTTCTTTTCTGCATTTCACGTTGGTTTGTGACTGACAAAGACTTAAAAATCTGACAATACAAAACATTTTATTAAAGCAATCTCGGCTTTATAGAAGTTTTCCTAATGATATGAACTTACCATTGACCTCTATGGGAAGAGTTAGATGCTGTTGTTGGCTGCTCCCGACTTCGAGTAATATATTGCACTCATAATGACCTGCATCAACTATGTCTAAAATGAAACAGCAACATAGTAGCAGTAAACTTGAAATGAACAATCGAACAGCCCTGTTAGCTTCTTGAATATGTTTTGTGTCATTTTTTTTGTTAAAAAAAACCAAGAAAATTATTTACTAGACAATGAATGTACCGATAATAATTAAATATAGTTATAGTCTATAAAGTTCAATTGCAGTTCCGTGAGTTAAAAAGTGTAACAAAACTTACAAGCCGAAAACAATTACTATAATAAGAAACTAATGAACCGAATATACCATTTTTCTTACGTACAACAGGCAATTGAAAACCTTGATTAAAAGCCAAAATATATTTTACCAACGTACATACAGATAATACCTATATATGATAAAGTTTTACATGTAATTGTGCTTCAGTCATTTCATGTAAATTAAGACGCCTGATATATTTTGTATGACAAGAAGTTTTTGACTACTTTTCTACATGGAGATAAGGGAAATGAAATGACCAAACTTTGTTTAATGATTTTACAACTATAAGTAAATTACCTGCATGTTGAATTGTTAAAGTTTTGGTATCAGAACTGTATTCGTATTTTCCTCTCAATGATTCTATCATATTTAGTGGCTTGTGATTTTTAGTCCAATAGATTTCGTAGGCGACGTCTACTTCCCCTATTTCACATGATAATATCAAGTCTTGGCCAGGTACCAAGTACTGTGCAAGTCCCTCTCCTATAAAACGAATAAAAATCTAGCCAAGTCATTTTTACACAACAAACAATGTTTTTACATATATATCTTTTTTGTATGTACATAAACATAAGGAGATGTGGTAGATTGCCATTGAGACAACCATCTACTAAAGTTCAAATGAAGTGGATGAAAGCAATTACAGGCAACCGTACAGCCTTCAACAATAAGAAAAACCCATACCGTATAGTCGGCTATAAAAGGCCCCGACATGAAAAATATGAAACAATTCAATTGAGAAAAACTAACGGCCTAATTTATAACAAAACAATCTACGGAAAATAAATATGACAGACATGAACCAACGACAAACACTGTACTACAGGCTCCTGACTTGGGACAGGCACATAAAGAATGTGGCGGGGTTAAACATGTTTGAAGGCGCCAACCCTCCCTTAACCTGGGACAGTGGTGTAACAGTACAACATAAGAAATATTATGCAGTCTTTCAATTTCAAATTCTGGAATTTGATTAAACATAATTTGTTAAAACAACAGAATATCAATTTTAAAACACCTGCACTCATTACTTTTTATGTACAGAAATGGATAAAAGATGTAAAGTGTCCTTTCTTTCCCCAGAAAACACGCATTCCTGCTGTCAAGGTACATAATATATTCGGCGTGAAATTTGAAAAGAATAAGAGGAGTTTTTTTTTACACTGCCTTCTTAAGTTAGAGTGGATTAAACTGCTTACAGTAAAAACACTATACTGAACTATGATAAGGAACGAAAATAAATTGCCGCTTTCAGTGTCACAATTTATTTCTTCAAATCGGAAAAAAATCCAAAACTTTAAGTCTCTAGACAATTCATGGATTCAGCACAAATTCCAAATTATATAAAGGTGTTAAATCCCATGTTGCATGCAATCGGGTTTTTTACGAGGGACGGGATGTAACGGTGTAGATTATACGAACTTCCGTTAAATGAGGAATCAAAAATCGAAATCAAAATGAAAAAAATAAGAACGATACAAATCAAAACTAACAAAACAGATGTTAGTAGGAACAACAAAACATGTATACGGAGAAACAACAAAACAGCCAACGGAGATACAACAAAACAGTCGTATGGCGATACAACAAATCCGTCATACGGAAAGATAGCAAAACAGACGTACGGACAAACAACAAAACAGGCATAGGAACGAACAGCAAAACAGGCATACGGACAAACATTAAAATAGACGTACGGACAAACAATAAAACAAACATACGGACATACAGCAAAAAAGACATGGATACGGACAAACAAGAATATTGACGTACGGACAAAAAGATTTTTATAAAGTACGAAAAAACACAAAATCAGTCGTAGGAAGAAACAACTACACCCCTTAACTTGCACACGGACAAACAACAAAACGGACATTATTCTAGTCGACATAAATCATTTCACATATATGTTTTGCTCACCTGACAACACTCTCACTTGTACAGTCCTGGACAGATCCCCTTCAGAACATGTAATATTGTTTACATTATCTAATGTCGTAGTGTCCTTTGTTATTGTCGATGTAGTGTGTGAAACACTGTGTTCAAATTTGGTGTTTGTAACCACATGAAAACCTAAACTTTGTACATTTTTATTTCTGTTGTGTTTCCAAGTTATTCGTTTGGTCTTTGAACCAGAATATTCACAAGAAACTGTAAGTTCTGTATTCTTTAGAACCCATACTCGTTTAAAGGTTGGGCTCATTTTCAATTGTGCTGAAAACAAAAGAAAATAATTTAAATGTGCATTGAAATGAGAATACAGTTAGATATAACAGTAAATGGAAATTAAGATGGTATGTTATAATCATTAGTGCTTACAAACAGTTCTGCATTAAACATATATCTTATGGTCATAGATTTTTTATTGTTGCATGTAGTTTTACCTATATATCATTAACAGACTTTTTCGTGGAACATCAACTTTGTATATGAATGAAAATAGCACTTTTTAAATAAGCTCTTTGTGTGTTTTCTGTGTTTTTACATGTTCTGTTTTCGACAGTTTGTATGGACTAGAAGGAAGTATGGTTGGTTACATGTAAGTATGATAGTTTTTATTATAGTTAAATTAAAATAAAATCAGGTAACCGATACAATAGGATAAACCACATGGCATGGCTAGTTTGCATGAGGGAATAACAATAACTGAATTTATACTGCACTCGTTCTATTTGAGCAGTCAAAATGCGTTGACCGTATATTTCTATATCATATACAGTCACTGACCTGATATCACTTTTCCTCATGAATATTTAAATAGAATTTGCCGAAATTATAATTAATTATTCATACGACCTATTCAACCTGTTCTTGTTTCCAATGTATACAACGACTCAAACTTATTTCTTTTGCAATATTTTTGGTTTGCAAACTATAAATCATTATGTTTTATGCTTATTGTTGATATTTTAGTTCATTCTCAAACAAATTCGTTCACCATCGATTGCGGGTTTCAACAGGTAATGTACATTTCATTGTGTTGTATATTTCTCCGCATGCATGATATGAGGCCTTTTTATAAAAGGGGGAAGTTTCCCAATATTTAAATAAAACAATAACATTAACATATTAAACAACAATTGAAAATGTGTTTTTTTTAGATTGCAGTATAAAGACAATAATAGTGCATTGACTTGACATATCAACGATATAAGGATTCGGCCCGAAACGGGGAATGAGCTCGGCAGAGCCTCGCATATCCCCGTTTCTAAGCCTCATCCTTATATCGTTGATATGTCAAGTCAATGCACTATTATTGTCTATATATTAGAATTATCATAATTGACTGCGAAAACCATATTTCTTCATCAACCAATTTTCTTGCGAATGGTAATTTTTACAGATTTAAAATAAACTTCAAAAAAAGGTGGAATTTTGTAATATAACATTTGATAAACAACTTGTAGAGAATTTAAGTAAATGGTAATAGATAAATGTCAAAGTTGTTGTAATCTGAAAACTGTTCGCTGTCATACTCTTTGTATGCCATCTTGTTTTATAATCATTACTGAACAAAAATATTTTTTGTGACTTCCCAGAACCTACCAGCTTCCACTGTTACAGACTTGTTTTGTTTACTCGTTCTGTCGACACAAGTATACAGTCCTGAATCATTGTACATAGTTATCTCCCTTGTGAGAGAAGCTGTAGACACAATCTTGTCATCTAGCCACGACGTATTTACTGTCTGAGTGAATCCAGAACTGTCCAAGATTCTAACGCCATCTTTATACCACACAATATTAGGTCTGAATGGACCAGTGGAGCTACATTTAAGATCTAACTGGTTCGGGATGAGCAAGTTTAATTTCCCAGTGTCTTCCTGTGTGATACGCAACTCTGAAATAACATTTTAAACTTCTTACTTGGCCAATAACAATTTGATAATAGTTCAGGTTTGTCTAGTAAGTGTGTTTCTTATATGGAATATTAAACTATCCATTATAATAGAAAAAAAACAAAGGATATGGGGTATCCACACTCTCACCTCACTGCACGTTTAAGACGGCCCCTAGCACCGACTGAGCGGAATTTTTTGCAAAAATAATTTGAATAGACTTTGTAAGATGTGACACCACCTAATCGGACCCTGTCAAAAAAGAACATACTGGAAAGTAGTGCATATTTAAAACAAAATAGTTCCTACGCATAAACATGCATTTGGCCTACATAACTGTTTACTTTTTACACATTGTGATTTGGATGGAGAGTTCTCTCATTGACACTCATATCACATCTTATTTCTATTTTGTTCTTTTTTCTCATAATGCTTGTAAAATCGATAAAAACAGAATAACGTCACAAAATACAAGTTACATGCAAAATCATTTGTAAATAAAAAATTACCAGTGGGTAGTAAACATCCAACCACGTCAAATCTGAGAGATATCTTCTGACTCCATGATATTGGTTGTAGGCGTAGATATCTAGCAACAACTGGTATGGGAAGTTCAGTAGATACCGGGGTCGATTTGTCAAAGTTGGCTACAAAATCCTGTAATATATTAATAATCTGACGTTACTCTTCCAGTGTCCTTTTTATCTTTTAGATCTTTTAAAAAATAAATGCATACTTGAAATATATATAATTTTTCCCTTGAAGTTTTTAACTAGAGTTTCCATATTCCCTTAATTTTGTTCTTTCCAAGGGAAGTAGACCAGGTTAAGTGTCACGCTTTTCTCTGTACGTCTATAGCTTATTAATTTACACAAGTTTTGATCCTGCAAATTTCTATTTAACGTTTTGTAAAATTTAAGCCTCCTTTTATCATAACATTGAATTTATAGATATTATTATCAAAATGATCAAATTTTTATAAAAATCCCAATGAATTGCATCTCGATTTTGTTATTGAGACAGCATCCCAACAAACTAACCAAGTAAGGCAGATTATTTATAGTTCGAAAATATTATTTTGTGTACATCACGGTATACTAGTATTCGTGAGATTTTATGTCAATTAATATCAGAGATACTAGTATTTACTTCACGAACAAGCTGCAAAGAAATGTGACAAATATTTTAAATAAAAGTAAAATCGACTTATGCATTTCTAAGGTTAACATTTCTACTCACCATTATCTTGCCTTTGGTATCTTTGTATTTATCCCAGTTTATTCCATCCTTACTGTATATAACTCTGTAAGCCGTTACCCATTCATTTCGTGGTTCGTTTGTATACCTCCCAGCAGTCACTATAGATCGTACTATTGTAAAATGTGGAAATGACACCTGCAGAAGTGTTTTAAGATTTATTGCAAAAGAGAGTTTTGATAACAACCAACAAGAATGACTTTTTCTGTGTTAAATTGAATACTTAACTAGTAGATCGTAAGCAGCAGTGGCAATTTAAAATGCATAAATGTAAAGTCAAATATGTTAGTACATATAATTAGTACATCATTTTACAAAATCTATATATTTTGTGCTTCTTTCTATTCATTTTTTCAACATTTAAAGACCATTATATTTGCAAAAGATCTCCAATGTGTATATAAATATGGTCATTCCTTGACTTTTCCCGTACCGGCAGTTAAACCCTTGCTACAATAGGGCGTCTGCTTTGCAGTGCGGGATGTATAAATAGTTAAATACGCAGCCACAGCCGATCGAAATGTTGACGTTCAATCCGATGCCTCGTGTAAGGATAGTGCCAAGCTCAGTGCACGTTAAAGAATCCTTGCAACAACTCTCTTTGGGGTCCGTAGGTGGCCTGCTGCAAGGCAAAATTTATGTCCCTATCCAAAATACCCTACGTTTCCAGCGGCGGTCCAAATGTCCTCTTCCCCCTTTTCATCCAGGTCGACCCTTACCTTGCAGAACCTATTTTTCATACTTATTGTTAATTGGTTCTCGTTCTGAATATAAATGAAATATTCGCCACTGTACTAAGAAAATAAAAAAAAAATCAATCAATCTTTGCAATGGATTATTAATTACGGATTACGTGGTAATTTAACATTCTATATTGGAGGCCAGTTTACTAGAGTGAAGATAATGTACATCACCTGATGAAAGATATCGTATGAATAAAATGACATGTGGGATATACCTGTATCCACTGTCTCGTATTCATAGCGATAGGAGACCATCCTCCACAGAAAGGTTTGCTTGTATGATTGAGACGAGCGCAATATGGCGAGTCATCATGCAAAATATCTTTGTAGTATGATAAAGCTGTGATCTTGTCATCTGGTACACCATTCATACCAGAAACCAGTCGATTATTACAAGAATCTATAATATATAGTGTCAGTATGTTTCATTAACATAAACTAACCGTCCTTTGCGTTCGGTAATCTTCAATTCTTTTCCATTAAAATCAAAGAATATATCTTTGTATAGATTACTTTTACTTTTATCAAAGGAAAATATTTTCTTCACATCATACACAAAAATATGTTATGAGGTCCATGTATGATGAAGCGGGAACAAAATCCTCAGAATATCAGAACACAAATCTTCCTTTTAGATGTCTATTATCGAGAACTTATGTTTACGTCTAGATGTCTTTTGGTCATTTTTGTGGTTGAGTTGTCGTCTCATTGACGTATAATCCCGCATCCCCTTTTATTCATATCTTATTCCTAACCTTTTCCCACCTATAATACAATACAGTAGATTGTTTTATTCTATGTTGTGTTTTTGTACGATAAACTGACAATACAAACCTGTAAGAACATTTATTGCAATTGTCTTGATATACGGACCAGCTTCACAGTAATAAGAACTTCTATCAGATCTTGATAGTCGGGTTTTAGTTGTTTGTAAGGTAGTTTTCACATTCTGATTGGACACCGTTCGTCTGCTGGACACAAATCCGTAACTAGCGAGTGATTCTTTCTGGTCTTTGTACCAGTTTACATCCAGTCTAGTATCCCCTTCATACTCACAAACAAGGGTTAACGTTTCACCTTCAAATGCTGTTATTCCACTGGAGGGGTATATCTTTACACGACCTTAAAATGAATGAATTCGGGATATTTCTTTTTGTCTAATGTAATTGTGGTATGATTGAATGATTGACATGAACTGTATTGTTAGTATACAGCTGTTAATAGCTTAGATGGAATTTGATAGTGTTATTTTCGCTATAATAGTTATGCACTTAATTTAATAGCTTTGGTCCTGTCTCTCATACAGCATGACAAAGTATGTGTTTTTATATAATGATTTTGTGATTGCATTGTAGGGCTATTTCATCTCTACCAAAACTGTAGTGCAAGTGTCTTGTTGACCATCAGAGGCCCAAAACAAAAATTATAGTCTGTATTCATACTCTTATTATTTATTTATCATACGTAACAGTATCATTTTTGTAATGTACTCTAAAAAATATTGGGTTTTCCTTGGAGTTCGGTATTTTTGTTATTTTGCTTTTTACTAAAACGCTCTTTATAATGAACAATACAACATTTGTCTTTTCGAATTTATGTGAAAATTATTCAAGTTATCTTGCCTTGAACAACTTTGACCTCTATGCTTTTTTGTTCTATTCCATCTGAGCAGTTGTAAATTCCACTGTCTGATGAAGTGGCTTTGCCGATCGCAATCTTCGTCACGTGTTTTTCTGTACTTCCTGTTACCAAACGTTGCTTCGAGATAACTACATTATCATTGCTTTCCAATGGTTCGGAACTTTTGGACCAAAACATTTTTTTATCTCCGCTACATGACAGATTGAACGATCTGGATTTCTTTATCCATAAAGGGTTATCTGTAGTTTCAATATCGACATACCCTGGAAATTAGTACAGGTGTGCATGAAGACTTTATAAAATATAATATGAATCACACAAAAAAAAAATAACACGACAGTAAACAGAAGTAACCAATAAATACAAGCTCGTGCAAGCAAGACCCTCTTACAAACATAAAAAAAAAGGCATACAATAGCCTGACTTGGCATCTACACAAAATGTGTTGGGTTATTTTTTATTTCCTTACATCAACGCACGTTATCATAATTGTTAGACATTATCGGTGGTGCTCTAGCTGAGTGTCGCTCTATCGGTGGTGCTCTAGTTTGGTACGGGTGTCGCTCTATCGGTGGTGCTCTAGTTTGGTACGGGTGTTGTATAAGGAGAAAGGGCGGGAATACAATGGTATTCACTTATTTAACAACACAAGATAAACTGAAAACTGGGTTTTTTTCCGCATTGACAATGTTGATTCGTTTTAAAACAAAAGACGACAGATGTCTTTAGAAAAATGTTGGTTAAATTTAACTGATTTGGGTTTCATTGAAACATATATTTGACTGCTGTTAGGCCAGGGTGCATATAATATATTTAAATATATCCTCTACCAAACACATTTATTTAATTTATCGACATTGCATATTAACATCAGCTTTGCTATACATATAATTTTCTCCTATCATATACTTCTAGTAACTTATTTCTATTTGTGTAGCCAAATGAGGACAGTATTGTTAGCTTCATATATGTTAGTTTTGTCATATTTTCTGGTGTCTTTGAGACCTTTTCAATGGAGTTTATATTTTTTTCCACATCAACTTAAAAAGTTTTTCTTACCTGTTGTTTGTGAAATATACAGAATCATAAACAATCCCTGCCAAAACATCATGGTGTTATCTTAATAGTATATCCATATTTGAAACTATAAATTATTTCCTAATATTTATCAACATAACTTATTAACATTTGCTTAAGTAAAATCATGACATAATTGTCTCCTATCATATTGTTTAAGTAACTTATTTCATGCATAGCTAAAACGAGGGGCTCTATGTCAAGGAAGATAATAATCTCATATGTATATCGAACATTACAAAAATGTTGTGTTTTGTACTTCAGGATTAGAAAAATTAAAACTGCAGTGATGTGAAGTTAGATCTTCGAACTGTCATCTTTAAGTTGATGATAGAATAGAATCTGAGCGTTATGATGTATAGACCCTCGAGTATCAATGTTAACACGGACATATCAGATTTAGACCTTGGGTAATCGGTTGTAAACATAATATTGTGGTGTTAAGTTATGTTACGAAGTGACGACGGAAAGACAAAAGATAGTTACGGGTGAAGATTTACAATACACACTAATTTTGAACTTAGATTGACAAGTTTGAAGTCTACAGTTTTTATCTTTTCATGTCTGTTATACTGAAAGAAAAGTTTGGTAATAGAAAAAGAAATGAATCGATTAATTGCAACTAGTTCGGTGTAGGAAAGATTAATTTCCAACTAGACCGGTGTAGGAAAGGCCAATTTGAAAGTTACTACATGTCGTGGTCCATACGACCAACCACTCTGTAATACTTTATTAGTATTGTTTAAATTGATTTTTTTATTTTATTTGCTAAACGTCCAGTGACAAATACCATGATTTCTACTGATATAACTTTAAAATATATCTAACTTGCATGATTTGACAGCATTAGTGAAATTTGATATTGCAAAAAAAACAATAACCTTTTAAATTGGTTTTTGATCAAAGCTAAACTTTTCTCATGTACGACCAAATAGAATTTAAGTAGATTAATTGGTTCATTCAAAACGATAATATCTTTCTGTTCATTGTTTTCTGTCAGCTTTTTTCAACACTACTTTTCATTTTATTTTCGATAAAGATATATTAGCCTTTGCACTGTAACAAACTTTAACCGTGACCTCTATACAATTTTGCCACTGGACGTAAAGCAACCAACAATCAATCTATACAATTGTGTGAGATGTTCATTACATTTTAAAATACACGCCTAATTGGATCTTCTATCAGCCTATAATGTGGACATCAAAACGATGGGATTGCAATTATCTATAGTATGCAAAAATATGCCTCCTCTCCCACCCTGGAAGTCTTATTGACCCACACGTAATATTCTTTTATTAATGGTAATATGTAAAAAATAGAAACAGATGAATTGAATAATAATTGATACGTAAAATAAAAAGTACAAAATGTTTTGACACAACCGTAAAAGATTTAATCCGTTTGACATGTTGTTTTTGTAATTAATTTATGAATTGAATTTATTTCTATTATTCGGGTATTTATATCAGAGGTTTTAGTAAATAAATAACTTATTGAAATCTCAAAGCATATATTATATTTTAGACAGTCTTTTTTTGGGAGAAGTTAATTTTAAGTAATGTTATATTAATTTCAGAAAGACTGTTACGTAGGAGTTTTATTATTGGTGAACAGGTCTGTAAATTGTAATTTCTTTCCTTTTTATAGTTAAACTTATTAAAATCAATTTTATTTTATTTATGATTAAATGTGTGATACAAGATGATAAGTATTTGTATCAATGTCTGAAGGCGATAGTATAGAATGATAGTAACATATATCCTGTTTGTGCCTAATTAAAATAATTGAATTGTAATTTCTGATTAACATGATAATTGTTTCCTGTTAGTGCCTCCAATTGTTTACTTTGTTGTAAGAGGGTGTAAACAATACATACTTATCAGTTCAACAATAATTAGTATTTTAAAAGGGATCAATAAGTCACACATCATTAAAATCTATAGTATAAAAACCCATCAACGAGAAATCTGATCATTATTGTTGAAATTCTCTCCTTAATGCGGTAGCAAAGTAGAAACATTATACATATATAACATATATATATATATCAATATTTATTTCCAAACTTATATTTTAGATATTTCTCTTTTTGAAATATACAGCATAGAATTGGTAAGCTATTTGATTATTTTCCAGATCCAATTTTTATGAATAGGTTCGTTGAAATCAGAAATGTGACTGCTTTCGTTGCGCAATAGTTCATCTTCATTTATTGAAGGAAAGAAAATGCAATGAATTTATAAAATTTTGAATATTTCAATAGATTTTTCATCATTCTTTTAAAATGTCAAACTAAAGATGATTTTGAAGTGTGGTTTCATTTGCAAAATAAAGCCATATTTATCAAGTTAAGAATGCATAAAATGTGAAATAAATAGTGAAAACAGTGCTTGTTTTTTTGTAATTTTCAATTGAAACAAATGTATAACATGACAAATTGTAATTTAAATTAGAACATTGTTTATATCAAATCGAGTTGTCGGGTTCACGTACCTGTCTGTAGATATTTATCTTTAAAATTTTCATTTAAAATCGATGAAAAAAATCTTGATTTTAAATTCATTTCATTAACTTTCGAGAAAATAAGATAAATGTTTGTAAGGAATACGATAGTATACACAAAGACAGTATCATTTTACAGTTAATTCTTGTTTGTTTCCCATGACTCTTTCTTCTGTCGGTTTTAAATCTCGATAAGCTATGATAAAATCTCCAAAACTATTTAAATGATTTAAAACAAAAACAAAAATATTCTTTACATATTCTTCTTTCATTCATATTTACTAATTTCAAACATTTAAATGATAAGAACGAAAAGCGAATTGAAAGCAAATAGAAGCGACACTTTTATTTATTACAAGTTTGCTCGAGCTAAAATTGATACGTTTATCACAGTTGAAAGCAGTTTCTATCATTTTATTTCTTGTGTGATAATATATGCTAAAACATGCATGATCAATAATAACATTACACTATGTACTTTTCAGTTAAGAACCACAGTGCTGTTGGAATGCTGACAATGGAGACCAGAACTGTATCAGTGGGGACTTTCGTGACGTCTTGTTTTGCCACCACTATTGGAGTCGTTGTATCTGTCAGTTTTCTCACTTTTAATTTGTTTCACAGAAATAAAAGGTAGGAATCTTTAATTTCGTATCTAGTAAATAAAGAACAGACTCAGCTGAAATTACCGCTATTCATTTTTTTTATATCAATTTTGCATTATATATCAATTTCGAATATTTACATTGTAAAAAAAATATTAATTCTTTCCTGCCGAAAAATCAGTTGAGAAAAAGACCAAGAAATGCGATGGCTTGTTCAGTGATATCAAGTTGAATTATTATCAATCAAATTGTTTTCAATGTTAAGCGATCTATCTTGTACCATATGTAGATTAACACACAGGCTACCGTTCTGTATAGACTGAAGCAATATGCAGATATGTAGTTTCATTTTCTCTTTTGCAGATTTATGAAAATGTCGAGTCCGAATCTCAATATACTGATCAGCGTTGGTGGAATACTGTTAAATATTGTCTGTTTAATGTATGGAATGGACTATTTCTTTGTAGAGCGGTATCACGAGGCTACAGTAACATGTCAGGTATGCAGGAATGTTATGGTTTTTTTTTTGTCTTAAAACTTTGAGATTTTTCTATGAATCAACTTATCTCCAAATACCAATTAGTCTTAAATCTCCAATTCGACGCCATGTAATAAAGGTGATTTTGAATTTGCTTTTGTTCTTTTCGAAATTTATCCCCATCTGATCCTACAATCAGAGTTAAAGGAGTTAAAATGGAACAGCGTACATGAGAACGGACAGTTTTGTTATAATATCAACTGTTTAACCATGTTGATTTCCGCTATTGTGTCATAGGCAACCGTGGTACTGTTTGTAGAGGATCAAAATTATAAAAACGATGACTTCAAAAAATTGTTATTGTTTTTATTTATACTTTGTTTAAAATGTCTAAAAGCCATAGAAATTGTAAACATTAACTAACGGAACAGGACTTTTAATAGTCGACAAACATTATTGATATATTTTCTTTAAACATGAATTTTTATTTTCAGATGAGACTTTGGATGATAGTATTTGGTGTATCCTTGGTGTTTGGACCAATTTTCTCTAAAAACTGGAGAGTGTACAAGATATTTCGGAATGCTGGCATCAAGAAAGTGGTAATTATTTTTCCAGTCAATCTTTATTTCTCTGTTACGCGATTGTTTGTATTTATACACTTTCAATGTATTTCTAGTCAATGATACTGCTTGTTACATTTGATCAGCAAAGTTCAAAGTTCACTATACTTATTTTACGGTTGAACCTAGTAGAAATAAAAATATTGAATATTGAATACTAGTATAAATAAATAAATGATAGAAAAAATCACTCATACTAAATTTGAATATTTTACAATTCAAAGGTAATAAAAGACAAGAAACTGTTTATGATCTGTGGTATTGTGTTGTGTCTGGATGCATTCATACTGTTCCTCTGGCAGATCATTGATCTGTTCCAATCAAAGCCTGTGGCCGTCTTATTAAAGGTATGTGAAATTAGTCCATAAGTATATCCACAAATGAAAAAAGAGTATGTAAATTCTACATTTCGAAGAAATAAATAAAGAACTGCTGAACCAACGCCTCTAAAGTTTCGTGTAGGTAGAGATCCCTTAAGTGGTTACCGATAGTATGCAGGGTTGTAAAACGAGATAAATTTGCAGGTCACTTAAGTTTTGTTGTCCATCTAGTTGTATTTTCGAAGATATTTAAATTTTACTTTTCGAAGATAAGTAAATTTTACTTTTCGTAGATATGTAAATTTTACTTTTCGAAGATATGTAAATTCTACTTTTCGAACGACTATTTCTCCAACTATCCATTGAAATTTGTTAAATGATGCAACTTATGAAAGGTATGTAAAATAAACGTAAACATACAACTGGTTTTGCTTATAATTGATTTTTGTTATCATCATTTTGTTTGTAATTTCTTAGCGAGTTTTTCTGTTTATTAACAATCAGTTTACTTAAATCTCTTTCAGAAATCATATACAAACAACACACAGAGTCTTCATGATCTTGGTTATATTCAAGAATGCACGTGTGGAAGGGTAGACGTATGGCTTAGCCTCATCTTTATCTGGAAGTCGCTTATATTTTCCTATGGACTTTATATAGCCTGGAAAACGAGAAACGTCTTGTTGCCTCCAATGAAAGATTCACCAAGTATCATTATCAGTGTTATTTTCAGCATGTCTATTACATCATTAGTTGTTGTTTTGTCATCATTATTACGTCACGACCCGGATGCAGTTTATGTTCTCCATATATTATCGATAACCATTTGTTGTGTGATTATTCAAATAACCGTATTTTTGCCAAAGGTAAGACTTCCAATTATAATCCTATTAACATGTAAACGTCTGGTTCTTACACTGCATTTGTTTTATTGGTTGGTTGATTATTGTTTGCTTTACGTTCAGTGGCAAATATTTCATGCATTTTCAGGCCTTAAAACAAATTATAACAATTAATAATAAAGGTATGTTCTGCAAAGAAGGTGTCGCCCGGAATGAAGGACGAACAATTTGGACTGCCACTTGAAAATAAATGTATGTTTGATGGGGACAGACATTTTGCCTTGCAACAGGTCACCTACGGGCCCCTCAGAAAGCTGTTTCATCTGCAAAGTGCATGGCACTCTCTCTTCACGAGGCATCGGATCTAATGTCCAATTCAGACCGAAACTTGACTGCATATTTATACATCCCTTACAGCCAAACAGACGCCCACTTAAGCAAGGGTTGTACTACTGGAACGAGAGAAGTCTAATGGATAACCCTATTTCTATTCCCCAGTCAACCCTTGAGATGCATTTTACAAATCTTTATCATTTCTATATATCATGTACTTTTCTTTGTAAGCCTTTTCATATAGATTTGTCTACAGGTCAGTTATATAGCCGTCTATGTGCATTTCTAATTTGTCGTTTATTTATTCTTTTTGTGTTATAAAATATTCAGTAAAGGTACCTATTACATGAACCTCGGACATACACGCAAGATCGGAAATATATGCTTCTGATTATAATGTTCTTATCATGATAAAAATACAATATCAAAGAATTTTTTTTATCCATTTTAATATACACCATTAAATTCATATACGTTACAGTTTTATCTTTCAGCTTCTAATCATATAAAAAATGTTGAACACAAAAATCAGCTTTCATAAAATCAATTTCAATATTTTAGGTTCTGTATTGGTGGAAGACTCCAATTGAGAATCCCGTTCGTCTGTCAACATCAGTTTATGAATATGGAGGGCTAAACTCGGAAGAGGAAATGTACCAACTTATTGCAGAAAACAGAGCTCTTAAAAAGTCTTTGACTGAGGTAATCGTTAATAGAGTATAAAACATATTATTGATGATATTCATGAAAGGAGATGTAGGATATACGTCAATGAGACATACAACACAAAAACTATGTTGTGTTTTTTGTACTGTTGTTTGTCTTTACGTCGTTTTTCGTTTTTGTTAAGGCGTTGTCAGTTTGTTTTCGACTTATAAGTTTGAATATCGTTCGCCTCACTTTTTCATTTAATCTATGGAATTTCGTTAGAAGTTTAGATTTATTAGAATATACAAAAATTACTTATTTTTACATACCGCTTTGGACAAAGTTTATTGTATTCGTCACGTTAACATCGAATGTATTTAAATAAAATTTATCATCTATCTATTTTTGAAACTGTGTGTTCTTTAAAGAAATAACCAAATTAGTTCTAGAACCGTTTTGTATTTTTATTTTATTCATTACTAATTTTTCAGAAAGCATCTAAATTATCGAATTTGGAAATGAACTTGCAAACAGCAAAACAGACACTTAAAAGTATGTCGGAAAAAGATTTCAAATTGGATGGCGAGTTCGATGTCGATTTATCCGAATTTAAACTTGACAGTGGCCTCGATGTCGATTTGTCCGAGGCAACTAGCACCGAAGATGAACTGTCTATCCGATATGGTAAAACAAGAATAAAAACTAGTATGACAAGATTAATTCAAGGTACAAATGAGGTCCCTAACGGAAATGAGATACCAAAGATTGGAGATCATGCTACCTTACAGAGATCAAATTCGGATAGCGGACGCATGGTAGCTTACCGGAAACAGAAATCAAGAACCAGTGTATGTAGTTTACAGAACTATTATCGTTCGACAGAGTGTTATGATAATCTGCAGGCATCACTTAAGTCGAAAAATGACATTGTTGGATCTGTAGCCAAAAGTTATAATCTTGATGACAACGAAGATACACTGTCGTATGTCAGTAGTTATCTTCCCTTGAAGAGTACCAGGAGAAAGCTTAACTACACGTTGAAAGACACAGGTGTTTACTTATCTCCGGAAAATACAACAACTATATCCAACGACCAGTTATATCCGTCATTTGATGACGAACTTAGTTTTGGAAGTACAATAATTGCTAAATCATCAAATATAGACCCTCGTGACAAACCTACAGTCTCTAAACCAAAACGACACAAGAAGTATAAAACACCTAAACCGTCTTACGAAAGGACAAAACAAGGGGATCAAATTGTTGTCCGCAAATGCTATTATTTGTAGAATCTGACATTATTATATATATTAAATTATTTTGGATTTCACTAATAAAGTTGTGTCGACACCAAAAATGAAGATAACGTCTTCCTAGTTCTGACATTAATGAATATTTGCAACTTACTGCCAAGTACCATGTTCTACGAGATCCCGAGTGGATTGTTCGAGGTAAACACGACGGATATTAAGCATCTTTTCCGTCTGGTGCAGTGTAATTTATATAAACAAAACATAGTGTTAGTTTTATATATAGTATACCAGATAAAAGGTAGAAATTCACGAGACAGTATACGACTTTAAAAGAACACATTAATTATGGGCGGAAATACATATGGATAACCAACGGTAACCAATCAGGTCATTTGAAAAAGACCTTAGAACAAGATCGAAATCTTTCTATAATCAAAGTACCGTAAACATTACAATAAAAAACTGAACGTCTGATTCCTGGCTTAAGTCATATGCACTGAATGGTATAACTACAGTTTGTAATCCTGTCATCTTGTACTCGTGAAATGTTGGTAAACGAATAGTAACGAATGTTTTTATGAAGAACTGAATACATTAAACACCATTTAACACCCGGTGTTTGTGGATTTCTGTTGCTCTGTCTTTGGTTTTCTATGTAGTGTTTTGTGAACCTGCTTGTATACTACAAGTTATAATAAAAGTGTTATGTATCTAGTATTTTGCACTCCAAAATGTATGAGCACATATCATTTTCTCTGCGTGATAGAATATATTAAATAAGGAGATATGGTATTATTGTCAATGAGACAACTATCCAATATAGTTTAACTGAAGAGGAGTTAAGCAACTATAGGTCACCGTACGACCTTCGACAATGACACAAACCCATACCGTATAGTCAGCTATAAAAAGCCTCGACATGACAAAATGTAAGCCTCGACATGACAAAATGTAAGAAAAAAAAACGATAAAACCAACGGCCTGATCTATAACAAAACAATAAACGAAAAACAAATATCACAGACACCTACCAACAACAACCACTGACAGGTTTCTGACTTGGAACAGGCATATGCTCAAACCTCTCCTAACCTTGGACAGTGGGTTAACAGCACAACATAAGATCACCTGTAACAAGAGGCTGTCAGAGTGACAGCAAACCGGATTTTTCTCCATAGGTCGAACCCTGAACAGTTGAGCAAGTATGGACACAACATTTAAGATTAAAACAGCTCTGAATTTGGATTGTGATTGAATATTTGACACAGCATAGGTTTGTGACACAAAATGAATGTGGCCAAAGAACTGAAAAATTTGAAATTGGACATTTACCTTTTATGGTACAATATCCAAAATCTAAGTGCATTGTTAGAATCAGCATATCAAAGAACCCCAAGAATTCAAGTTTTGATGAAATCAAACAAAGTTTTATTTTGGACCCTGATTTTGACCAACTTGAAAACTGGGCCCAAAAATCCAAAATTTAAATACAGGTTTAGATTCAGCATTTGAAAGAACCCTAATTGATTGATTGATTGATTGTCTTTATTTACTCCAATATATGAAGACTGACATATAGTTAATACATACAAAAGGAAATTAACAAGCTATATACAAAATATTATGAACACAATATGACAATAAGGTCATTACACTACATGATGATTATAATGTCCAACACATAATAAATACAAAAAATAGAGAACAAATGCACATACAACTTTGCCGATTTAGTGACCAAAATTAAAATTATGGTAAAATAAAACACTTTTGAAGTGATTGTACAATTTCAACATATGACCCGCTAAGCACAGCATCAATTGTTTCCACACATCAGAGTTCAGTTGTTTTACATAATCATTTACTCCACCAAGTAATGTCACAAGCATATCGTCTTCGTCCTGCTGAAATAGTCCTACAGAATCTTGTACCGACAATAAGTCGACTATCGCATTGAACATTTCATTTAGAATATTATAGTATTTTCACAATTTAGAATTAAGTGTTTTACAATATCATCAGTATAATGATTACATATAGTACATTGTCCACTCTCAATGGCAACGGATCCTAAACGAATTAGAAGTAAAAGACCTCTTGTGAAAAAAGGGTCCGTAGCTGAAAGTCTGACAAGTCTATGATCTGTAAGACAAGAATGTATTTAAGGAATGACTGTAATATTTTTTCTGTCTATGAAGAAATAACATCAAAAATGTGATGCACACTGAATAACCCGCGTAGCGGGTTATTTTAAAGTGTGCACCACATTTTTTATGTTATTTCGAATAGACAGACAAAATATTACAGTCATTTCTTATAATTTAATTATAAATTCCATTTTAAACCGTAGTAAACCATGAAAAAACGTTGATGACGTCACGGTCACATGACAAAATTATGTCTATGAGCTGATAAACAAAACAACGTCAGCCAATCAGAAGACGCGTTACATCCAAAATTAAATTATTTTAAAATAACGGTTGAGTTCCGGTCGACGTTGAACAGACAGTATCCATCTATTTTCTTCAAAAATTGTTGTTGACTGACTAACTATTTTGGACCAAAGTCTTTTATCTGGAATATATGCCTCCTCGATATAACTTTCAAGGAATGATAACATATTATATTTCGCTAAAGTTTGTATAAGATCATAAGTTAATGATGATTTCGCCAATTCCCCACAGAGTATTTGACTGAGTCGTAAATTAAACAGTTGCTTATGAGTAGTTGTAACAGACGCTCTACATAATTTACCAAGAAATAAAATCTTAAATTTGTCATTGAGACCTTCTATTGTCCAAAGATCTAAATTACTTATACAAGAGTCATTTGGTGATCTTTGATAAAACGTGTGAAATATCTCTGTGCTTGTTCTAACATTCCAATCTCCGTTGAATTTAAATGTCCCCAAAGTTCACAGGCATAAAGTGCACAAGGAAGGATAACTCTTCTTCCATATAACGGTATTTGCGATCGGTGACATGCCATTTGGATTCACACCAATATTATACAGCGAATGCAAATTTGGCTTTAATTTCTTACAAGCAATATCTGTCCTTCCGAAAGTTCTTCTCAAACAGTCTAGCAGAGTTCCAGCATAAGTAACTGTAGCATTCATCAAAATTGTAGCATCACCGAATGAAAACACGTAATCAGGTTTTTGCATATATTTTTTGGGACTAAAAAGTAAAAATTTACTTTTCAAAGCATTATATTTAAGTCTCCATCTTTGTACATATTCGTGAACAATACTTAAAAGTATTTGTAATCCGTTATTTGAGCTACTCAACAAGGTAGTGTCATCTGCTAAAAGAACACACGGAATATGTAAATGTTCAATGATCAATCCACTCTTAGACTCTATAAGCTGGTAATTCATATCGTTAATAAAAAGTGAAAAAAGCCAAGCAGACATTACACGTCCTTGACCGACTCCTTGTTCGATCTTAAACACTTTACTAGTAATTGTTTTGTACTGAACATGAGCCGTTGCATTTTTGTACCACACGTATATATATATATCCACATTTTCCCTTCTGTGACGAGTTGATTAAATCTGTAATTTTTTACATGACAACATTCATGTACGTGTCGGCAATTAAGTTATCGACAGATTGTAGGCATTCCTATGGGCACCAATTACGCTTTTAAAAGCAGACTTGTTCCTGTATTATTATGAATCACAGTTTATGACCAAACTCAGTAAAGATCAGTAATGGATAAATTTTAAAACATTTACCGTTACTCTGATGACATTTTTGCTTTAAATAATTGAGAATTTTCTAATTTCACTGTGGAAAATTCCCCAAAAAAGCTTACTGTAAATGAATCTAATACAGACAGCAAGCCAATAATTGTAATTTTCTAGATTTGGATATTTCAGTTTCACACGGGAAACTGTATACAAAAATAAACGACAAAAGGGACGATTTTCGTTCCGTATTGGAAATTTTCTGTTTTTAGACGATGATGTGCTGTTGGCCCCTTTGTACGGTGTCTGTAGTCGCGTTTTAGATTTCAATTAACATAATTCATGTATAACTGGTAAATAATTAAGTCAGGGATTTCGTTATCACAAATTAATTTAAACTTTTACTAAAGCATTTCAAAGATACAAAGAGTTGGTTAGGTAGTTTTGCTGTATCTGTAAAATTCTTCTAAAAACGGGATATCATATTCTTCTTTTTATGGTGATGTGGTTTAAAGATCCCGTAAATTTAAATACGATCGATGTAAACTCATTGACCAATTTAATAAACTTATTTTTAAGGTTATCAATTCAACACTGTAGTAAAATCTTTAGACATTATCGCTACTAACATTGATTTTTTTTTGATTTTTAAAAAAAAATATAACATAACTAGACATATATTGAAAAATATAAAATTTAGAAGATGTGATATGATTGCCAATGAGACAACTCTACACAAGAGCCAATTAACACAGAAATAAACAACTAAAGGTCACCGTATGGCCTTCAACAATGAGCAAAACCCATACCGCATAGTCCGCTAAAAAAAGGCCCCGAAATGACAAATGTAAAACAATTCAAACGCGAAAAATAACGGCCTAATTTATGTACAAAATAATGAACGAAAAACAAATATGATACACAGCAGCAAACGAAAACCACTGAACTACATGCTCCTAACTTGGGACAGGCACGTATAGAATGTGGAGGGGTTAAACTAGCCTGAAGGCGCCAACCCTCCCCGAACATGAAACAGTGATGTAATAATACAACATAAGAACAAACTATAAAAATCAGTTAAAAAAGGCTTAACTCTTCAGATGGATACAAATAGAAATAATTCTAACAAAAACACAGAGTGGACGTGGCAGGGTACTTGCACATCCCCGCACCAAAAAGACTTTAAGTACAGATCTGAGAGTACCCGCAGTTACTGACAGCTAGTTCAAAGCCAATAACAACTAATAAAAAAAAATCCTGCATCTAAGACTAAAATATCAATCAGTACGCACCCAGCATCCAATGGATTTAGTGTAAAGACGGCATAAACAGTCAGAGAAAAACATGACCTTGTGCATTATACAGGTATCGACAGATTGTATATATGACGTATATCATATTTGATGTTCGTAAATTGGATTGTTATAAATAATACCGTTAGTTTTCTCGTTTGAATTGTTTCACATTTTTTTATTACGGGGCCTTTTATAGCTTACTATACGGTATGGGTTTTTTCTGTTTGTTGAAGGCCGAACGGTGACCTATAATTGCTAATACTAAATATGCACGTCATTTGGTGGATAGTTGTCTCATTGGCAATCATACCACATCTCATTATGTTTATATTAACAGTCAAAGAATGTTATGCTTGAATAATTCACAGCTGTCAGTGATTTTTCTTAAACAATTGAATAGCTACCCAACTGTCCACATGTCTCTCCATGCATACTTGGTTTAAACAACTACCATACAATCAAAACATGTGACCTAACCATACGTACATAGGAAATTTTTAAATTTGCGCTGATCATAAAGAGGCCCAATCTGGCGGCAATTTGAAATTGAATGTTTTTCTCCTTTTGCATTGCTGATTTGATAGTGGACCAATATTAAAAAGATGTGGTTTGTTTTACTTCATGTTTTATTTTATGTACATGTACTGATTGTTGTTTGCTTTACTTCAAACAAGTTTCCGTGCATATTGAGAACGAGAAGAAATTAGCAACCTATCTAATATGCAAACTTTTCAAATTGGGCTGACCATGATGAAGGACGAGAAATTTGGACTTCCAGTGGAAAAGATGGTATGTCGGAAAGAGGAAACACTTATTTTTTGAAACGGACCATTTACGGACCCTTAAACAATTGTTGCGTTGTTTCCCAAGCGCAACGGATTTCGCTTCCACATTTTGACATACCGGACGCGATTGCGTTTTTATACATCCTGCACAGCTAAATCGAGGCCCTTTTCGGGCAAGTCTTTATCCTCAGACGAAGAAACTGGAATCAATCTCTATTGAGCATTTATTTTTTTAATTTCTTCAATATATCTTACATCTCTTGAACTTTTGTTATTGTAAAGCTTTGATTAAGTGATCTGATCAATTTTATTGGACGATACTGTATTGGAGACCAATTTTATTGGACGATACTGTTTTGGAAATATTTTCGTTCATCGCATTCTTTTTCCAAGCTTTGTTTTCAACAGCTACCCGTGTGTATTATTGATAGCCAGATGTTGTCACATTGTGCCTTTTGAAATTCACAACTGAAAGGGAAAAAAGTAAGATTGCTAGATTCAGATTAATAAATGAATAAAGCGTTTCCAGTTTATTTATTATGATGTTAATTCAATATATATATATCAGATTTTTCTGAAGCTTTTTATTTATTCATTTAACGAAACTTTCTTTTCTATTTCATTGGTATATCACCGAACGTTTTTATTTTTTTTTTATTTGAAAGCACTTTATACTTCATAGTTATGGCGATGGGACCTTTATTTCCATCAAAGCGTTTAGTGGTGACGCAAGATAATGTTTATCCCACTAATGGCAGACAAATGAAATACCAATAATATGTTTTTCCAATTGTTAGTACCAGCTAAGATGTATTTATACTGCACTCGTTCTATTTGAGCAGTCAAAATGCGTTGACCGTATATTTCTATGTCATATACAGTCACTGACCTGATATCACTTTTCCTCATGAATATTTAAATAGAAATTGCCGAAATTATAATTAATTATTCATACGACCTATTCAACCTGTTCTTGTTTCCAATGTATACAACGACTCAAACTTATTTCTTTTGCAATTTTTAGAAGAACATATTTCACTTGTTAATATTTTTGGTTTGCAAACTATAATAAATCATTATGTTTTATGCTTATTGTTGATATTTTAGTTCATTCTCAAACAAATTCGTTCACCATCGATTGCGGGTTTCAACAGGTAATGTACATTTCATTGTGTTGTATATTTCTCTGCCTGTATGATATGAGGCCTTTTTATAAAAGGGGGAAGTTTCCCAATATTTAAATTAAATAATAACATTAACACATTAAACAACAATTGAAAATGTTTATTTTTTTTATTGCAGTATAAAGACAATAATAGTGCATTGACTTGACATATCAACGATATAAGGATTCGGCCCGAAACGGAGAAAAAGCTCGGCAGAGCCTCGCATTTCCCCGTTTCTAAGCCTCATCCTTATATCGTTGATATGTCAAGTCAATGCACTATTATTGTCTATGTATAACTGACTTCTAATCGGAAAAATTTAAGGTATTATACATCGTCCCGCACATCTCAGTATACCTCACCACGTGTTCAACCACCCTTGACACAAAATGTTCCTGTAATATTGTGAAGATAAAATAGCCTGACGCCCCTTAGTATAATATCAAACTTACTTATTTTTGTGTGTAACTCCATTAGAGGCGCAAACTTTCGTTGGATCATAGCTACATGTAACTATGTCTTTGTTATCACAAAACAATTGTCCGAGCTGGTCACGTGTAGGTTTAGGTGTTGTTGTAGGCATTGGAGCTGTAGTAGTAGTTGTTTGTTTTTGTGTAGTTGTTGTAGGAATTGCCCTTTTGGTTGTCATGGCAACATATGTTGTAGATGACATCTTGTTGGGTGTCGTCAAACATCCAAAATCCGCATCTATTTGTATACGTTTGTCCTTACATCTGGCTTGATCAAATGCACAGCTAAAAAGAAAGAATAAATACATTTATATTCAATTTTACCATAATTTTAATGATTTTGATTTTCAATAAAACAGTGCATTCACCGGCGGAAAATGTTGAGAATTGATAATCAAAGCGTCAGTTGAAGTGATAAAATATAGTTTTTAAAGTGAAATAATCACTTATATAATCTACACATAAGTTTATGGTTATGTAGGGTACATATCAATAAGACAAAAGTACAACGTTCCATAAAGAAATATAGAGGTCAGCATACGGTCTTCAACAATAGACAGTAGTATAAATAAAAAGTAAAATAACAAAAAAATACCGAACGCCAAGGAAAATTCAAATATGGAAATAATAATATAAAATAATATACCAGCTCTTTTTTTACCGCATCGAGTTTAAAAATCTGTGAATGAATTAAACACAAAGACTATAAAAAAAAGTCTGCCCTAGACACAAATTCCCCATATGACAAAAAAAGTTAAAACAATGGAGGGGGAATACAATTTTTTAAGATCGCAGTCCTCCTATGCCTTTCAATCAATGGACTTTCAAATATGCATGATAAAATAAGATAAAAATCAGCAAGAGGAAATCATTTAAGTCTATAATAATGATAACAAAGAAAATAAAAACACAACCACAAACAAAACAATAGTGAACAATATCATATCCAAATATGTTCATAGTTACTGAAAGCAAACTCAAAGAACTAAATAGGAAATCATGCCATCCTATACCCCAATATTGGTTGCCTTACTTCAGAATAGATTAACTTCAGAATATATAGCAATGGCATAAAGAGCGCAGGAAGACACACTCATGTGCAATACCTAGAACAAACCTGTAAAGAATTTTAGCAATAATAATAAAAACAAGAGGCTCTCAAGAGCCTGAATCGCTCACTTGTAATTTTTTGCTTAAATCTTTCATCAATGATTATTTTTGCTTTTCAATATATATTTTAAATGAGTTGCTTAAAATGCCATTTAAATGTTCTTTGTATCAGTCATATTTTCTTCAAAAGCAAAAAAAAATGCATTTTACTCCTATGTTTTATTTTAGCCATAGTGGCTATGTTTCTTGTTTCAGAGGAGAAGATTTTTTAAAGTTAGAAAACATGATAAACAAATTGTGTAAAATTGTCCTTAAAGGGCAATAACTCTTTAAGGGGTCAATTGACAATTTTGGTCATATAAAACTTATTTGTAGATCTTACTTTGCTGAACATTTTTGCTGTTTACAGTTTATCTTTATCTATAATAATATTCAAGATAACCAAAAACTGCAAAATTTCTTTAAAATTAACAATTTAGTGGCAGCAACCCATCAATGGGTTATTAGATTCGTCTTAAAATATAAGGGCTGGTAGAACTTCACCTAATGAACACTTTAACCCCCATGTCAGAATTGCTCTAAATGCTTTAGTTTTTGAGATATAAGCCAAAAACTGCATTTTACCCCTATGTTCTTTTTTTAGCCATGGCGGCCATGTTTTTTGACGAAACAGAAAATAAAACACAAACTTTATTCTGGATACCCTAAGGATCATTCAGCTTAAGTTTGTTGGAATTGGTTCAGTAGTTTCAGAAATGAAGATGTTTGAAATAGTTTACACCGGACGGCTGACGACGGACGACGCCAGACGACGACGGACGCCAAGTGATGGCAAAAGCTCACATTTCCATGGGAAAGTGAGCTAAAAATGAAATTATATTCATAAAAAAATACCATACACAATCATTGAACAACAACAGTATCTTTTTGCAGTAAGTCTTTTAAACAAAAAGATATATTTAAAGAGGGTGGTAAAGGGTTATTTTCGTGCAACGTTTTCGGCCTTTTTATTTCACGTGTTTTCGTGTTTTGACGTTTTATTTCTCGTTTTCTCGTGTTTGGTTCGATGTGCGTACTTCGTGTTTCCCCTTATTTATTTTCCGTGTTTCGTGTTTCGTGCTTGTCCCGCATTTGATTAAAAAGTAAACCGGTCAATTTTTTTTGTAGAAAAACATTTTTTTTTACTATAAAGTTTTTATTGTCATATAAAATATTAATTAATCTCGCAGATTTCTTAGTTTCATGAAACTTTTGCTCAAAAATTTTTTTTTTAACTTTTTATTTAGATTTTCATAAAACATAGTTTAGAATCTCAAAGGTCTCCAAATATAAAAAACAATCTGCCAAATAACAAAACAGTTCTGACCATTTATATCTCATCCGGTCATTATCCTGTCGAAATCCGGTCATTCGTCCTGTCATAGTGCAACCCGACCGCAGTTTCTTCATGTCCATTAATAATGACTGCATGATCTCCAAGAACGGCTGAGTAATAACTTCTAGTACTTTTTTCCTTAATATTTACTACTTTATTTCTCGTGCTTCGTTTTTCCCGATTTTTATTTTCCGTGCAACTTTTTTGCGATTTTTATTTCACGTGTTTCCGTGTTCAGACCCCCTCCCCTTTTACCACCCTCATTTAAAGGATGGTCCCTGACCATGTTAGGTCAATGAATAATAATTAAATTAACCTACAAACTCTGTTCTGTATGTTTGTTGAGTAATATTACAAGTGCCTTTCACACTGCCTTCTTTTTTTCCAAATACTAGCATAAACTTAATATAAACATTGATTAACTACTCACAAATTTATATAGGAGTTTCCATTAGAGTCACATACTGTCTCGTCTGTATCGACCGTCAGCTGACTACAGTCAAGTAGTATTATCTCTCGACAAAGATCCTCAAACCCTACTGTTGCTGATACTCCACAGATCACGCTCATCACTGTAATACATAACGGTGGGTTTTTTTTATATTTAGGGTCACGTACACTTTTTTTTTTTCTTTAAACCTTTGAGGTATATAGGATTTTATTTCTTTAGAGACAAGTGCCTGTGTATAGGGTTAACAGATATTAGTGCAATTTGTCCAGAGTACACTATCATATTGAGAAGTGGTAATTTTCACCTTTGTCGTGCAATATCCCTTTTATTATTATACAATAGAACTTTTGATAACGAAATGTTTACTATATGATATTGTGAATCGTTATGATTTAATAAACTGTATCCCATGTAATACCGAAAGGTAACATTTGTTTGTTTTTTCTACGAGGGATATAGAGTTGCTAAATATTTTTAAAATTTATCAAGATACTAGGAAACTTGATCAAAACTTGTTATTTTGAAGTAAGTAAAACTGTGCATTTATTTAAGTTTTGTGCATCACTTTCGTAAATTATATATTGCACTAGTAAGTACACTTTTGCAAGTTGAAAACTATATTTCCGACCGGTAAAATTAATCATGATTCCGCTATGAAAAAAGACTTGTGCTCAAAATGTTTGACGTTTTCATTTTCACAGACTTTGGCATACAACAAAAAAGTAAAATAACAAAAATACCGAACTCCAAGGATAATTCAAAACGTAAATAGATATAGGAAGATGTGGTATGAGTGCCAATGAGACAACTCTCCATCCAAGTTACAATTTATAAAAGTAAACCATTATAGGTCAAGGTACGGCCTTCAACACGGAGCATTGGCTCACACCGAACAGCAAGCTATAAAGGGCTCCCAAAAAATTACTAGTGTAAAACCATTCAAACGGAAAAACCAACGGTCTAATCTATATAAAAACGAGAAACGAGAAACACGTATGAAATACATAAACAGACGACAACTACTGTAATCAGATTCCTGACTTAGGACAGGTGCAAACATTTGCAGAGGGATTAAACGTTTTAATGGTACCAAACCTTCTCCCTTTTCTGAAACAATAGTATAACATCACAACATAGAAAAACACACTATAAAATATCAATTGGTAGGCTTAACTCAATCAAAAAACGTAAATTAACACACAATGAACGAATAAATTTGACCTGTGACACCTGAATGCAAATACACAGTTAATAAAAAATTACAAGGGATAAATAATTAAAGTCAAAAGTAAATAAACAGGTTTAAACAAAGTTAAAGTATGATATCACTGTGAAATGTCAATTAATTTTTAGAAAATCATCACTTTTGAAGGTCCTTTATCAAATAGCAAAATCAAAAGCTCAAACAAATCAAACGATTGGAAAACAACTGTCATATTCCTGACTTGGTACATGCATTTATTTGTGTAGAAAATGGTGGATTGAATTAGAAAATGGCTAATTCAGACCTGCTAGTAATATATATAAACTGAACCCGTTGATTTTGACCGGATGCATTTCAAACAAAGGAGGAACTTTAGAAATCAATATACATTTCTTAAAAAAAAAATCATACTTGCAACTCGTCTCTAAAATACACAAATGTATTGTCACATCATATAAATTAGGATTTTTTAATTTTTCTCGTATTACAAGCGTATCTTTCATTTAGAGAATTAAAAAAAAAAATGCAGCACGGATAAAGATATCATAAATTCTGCAAAACTTTTACTTAATTGTTATTGTGCATTTTTGATTCCAACAGCATAAATTTGATTAAAAGTGGTATTTCGCTTCCAGTTTTTACGGACACATTATTCATTAAAGTTTATATTTTGTCCAACAAATCTTTCTCTTTTCCCCAATATGATTATTGATAGAGGTTTTGTCCAACAAATCTTTCTCTTTTCCCCAATAGAATTATTGATAGACTGTTGTTGTTCATTCAATCGATTCAATTCGATAATTTAAAGTTTGAAGCAATACTTTAATGCATTAGATTTGTTGTTCTGTGTGTTGTGTATCATTGTTTTATTCCTGTGTTGTTTATGACATTACTTACGACATCATCTATAGCACAGCAACCGATATTAGAGTGCAGCACCCGGTTGTACGAAAGTGGCATTAGCCTAATTGGTCATTAAGTCTTCATTAAGCCTTTATGATGCATTAGGCTAATGATGACTTAATGACTCATTAGACTAATGACACGTTCGTACAATCGGCTGCTGGACGACATGTTCGGCAGTTTAAGTACTTTGATCTGGCTTTAAATCAATACACGTTTTTTTATGCGGCAATATATATATAATATTGTTTATCACTTGTTTGTTCTTGTGTTTCTGTCATCTACTATTCAATAGATTTAGAGTCCATATGTACTTTGGGACAGGACAATTTTTTTTAAGCCCCTTTTTTTCCAAAAACCGTTATTTTTTTTTTTTTTTTCAAACTATTTTCCCGTTTTCCTGTATTATATCAACATACATATATATACTAGAAATAACATATTTTATGTATTTACTATCGATTTTAAGTTTACTAGCCACGGCGGCCACTGATAATATTTATATATAAGTGGCCGCTGTGGATAGTGAACTAGGGAATTGATAGTAAAAAATAAATACATGTTATTTTAGTATATCATGAAAAAACGCGAGAGGCTAAAATTCATTAAAAAATTTTTTTTTTAGTGACGGATTTTGGAAACGTAAAACAAATTGTCCTATCTCCAAGTACCTATGTGGCGTAGACCATGGTCTCTAGCGCTGTTGAAAATCCTTTGAAATACCAGAAAACCTTTACAATCTGACGAACTACTTTTACAAAATAAACTATATTAATCAATCTGGAAAGGGGATAAGTGATTTAAAATACTATACTTACCAATACACAGATTGATTAACACAGTCATTTTAGTGACGTTCTTTATTATTTCTCCTTTACACACCTATAACTGTTCCCTATGTCCTATATCCGTGACTTATCTATGTTCTTATCATGACGACTTCGAACTGAGTCAATCTGGTTATTGTTGTATTGTATCTACGAGGAATGTTTTCATCCGTAGAACTATTCCGTCATATCATGGCAATCGTATTTATTCGGAGTGTATAAGGTCGTGTGGTACAACAGATATAGACGAAAAATCTGACCCCTTTTCATTTCTTTTCTAAGTTATATAAGTTGACGATATTGTAATATGCCTAACAAGGGAAAGTGAACATATTGTACAGTAAGAAGGACTATGCATGATAATTAACCAAATATGGTTAAGGAATTCAGCTAATCGAAACCTGACCCATTTCATTTCTTTTCCAAATTATGTTAAAAGCCACATTACATTTATGAAAAGAAGTTGACTTGGAATAGATCTTATAGGAACTGTAAATCAAAAGAATTTAAGTATTTTATGACCCGACCACCTACATTAAAGCAAAGTAATGGTTGATACTTGGTTTATTTTGAAATTGACATTAATATATATAATTATAATGGGCATTTAAAATTCTCAGCGTGCAAAGTTCTTCTATCAAACATACGTCCCCGTGTTCAGATACCATTACTGGTTCCTAAATGGACGAAATTTTGTAAAATGAATAGGAGGAGATATTTGATAAGAGACAATGAGACACCATCCAAACAATACAAAATAACAACAATGGACATTTAGAGTTCAACAACATACGGTCTTCAAAAATTTAAAAGACTGAGTGTCCATATTATAAGACACGATTTCGAATTAAACAAATACGACATTTCTGTGCAAGGCAAAGATTTCATAAAAAGTTAATAATTTCTGAGCAAGAAAAAACTTAAAAAAACTTGTATATAAAAATATTTCTTAAAAGCTGTGAATCCATATTTCAAATTCCATTTCGAGTTAATGGATAAACTGTGTCACAGCGTGATAATACACACATATTTATGCTATTTACACTTTCCAAAGGTAAAAATGGTGTACAATAAGAAGGACTAGGCCTGTTAATTAACCAAATAGGGTGAAGGAATTCAGAACAGTCGTATGTTATTGAAGACCACGTGTTGACCTCTAAATGTCTTTTGGTTATGTAACTTATCACTTCAAAACCATGATAAAAATATTCTTAACAAAATAACCATTGCTTGAAATACGTATATTTATTGGGTTTTAAAATGGTCTATGGACTGCAATCTCCAGCGTTTTTTATTTGTAGGTAGAAATTGTCACACTGTACTTTGGCAAACTCACAACTGAAAAAATAGCATATATGAATTGGGTAAATGGTATAATGATTGTTACAAACTTCTAGGGATGACAAACTGCTGACACAAATAACATCGTGGTTTGATTACACGCGAATGAAAGAACCTAAAACAGTCGTAAACAGGCCGTTAAGTTTTTCTCGTTTGAATTGTTTTATATTTTTTAATGTCGGTGCCTTTTATAGCTGACTATACGGTATGGTTTTTTTTTCAGTGTTGAAGGTTGTACAATGACCTATTATTGCTTACATCTACGTCATTTCAACTATGGTGGATAGTTGTTTCATTGGCAATCACACTACATCTCCTTATTTTATATTGTGGAATTTTTAAAATAATTGCATTATCGGACAAAATGCAGTTCTAATTTACATACATAACCATTAATTATGATTGTGTTATTGCACGTTATCAAATTCTCGTTTTTCATCATTACGATAATGAGTTATATTTTTACAAACTTTATAAAGCTACGATTCTTATACTATACAAATAACACATAGCTGAGAGAGTGACAGTGCAGATTGTTACCCCGAGAAAACAACCGAGGCGAAGCTGAGCCATGGGATAGAATAAAATGTCTCTCCCTCGTATTAATCAATCAAAATCAGGCATTTTAACTTCAAGTATAATGATATAAAATAACATGAGTGGTACTCACTTGTTATCATATGTAACGCCATCAGTACCACATACTTTGTTTGGATCATTATGACATGCAATTATATTTTTATTGTCACAAAACATTTGTTCTAACTGACTACGTGTAGGCTGGAGTGTTGATGATCCAGAAGGCAGTGCTGTAGTTGAGCGGGGTTCTGGTATTGTTGAATTAGGTTGTTGAGTCGTTGGTTGGGATTTTGATGTCGTTGAATTAGGTTGTGGAGTCGTTGGTTTGGGTTTTGATGTCGTTGAATTCGGTTGTGGAGTCGTTGGTTGTGGCTTTGGTGTCGTGGAATAGGGTTTTGGTGTCGTGGAATTTGGTTTTACAGTCGTTGAAAGATGTGTCATTGTTGTTGATTGGATTTTTTTAGTCGATGTCTTACTCGGAATTTGTGATGTCATTAAATTGCCAGATGTCAAGTTTGAAGTTATGGTAGAAAACTGTGTCGTCGGTAAAGTTGTTTTCTTTGTTGTTGTTGTTGGTAAATCCGTTGTTCCTGTTATTAAGATTTGTGCTGTTGTAGACATTTTTGTGGTACTCGTCGTCGTCGTTTTGGTTGTGGTTGTCGGTAGTTTAACCGTAGCTGTTGCTGGCGACAGTAAACATGAGAATGAAGAGTCTATCACTACTGTGCTGTCTTTACAAACGGCTTGATCGAATGCACAGCTAGATAAATATAAGGTTAACTAGATATTTGGATTGATCATACGTTTACCTCAGTTAATATTTGTTAGTATTTTATTTTTCGATCAGAAATGGTATTACGCATCAGTTAGCAGAGAAAATGGCTGTTAAGAACAACATTATAACATAAAGTGTATTCTAAAATATGAAACATGTAACCGAAATTCTTCGTATAAAAATATTATGTTTTGAAAGTGATTTATGACACCGAGGGCCTTATAATAGTTAAGGGGAAAATTACAGTAAACTAAAGTGATTATAATTGCCTATCAGATTATATTTATATGTTAAAGTGTTCGAACAAAACTGCAAAGTATTTTTATTTTTAGTGTGAATCCGAAATAAAAATAAAAAAGTAATATTTAGTATGTATCATCACTCAAACGGTATAGAACATTTTCAAAAGATCCCAGTCGGTTGAATTATTTATTTTCATTACTTTTGTAGAATTTCATTTCCTGCAATTTGTTGGGCAAAATATTCACTTTCATCATGTTTTGGGCAAGGTTACATATGTTTTTCAGTTCTTACCAGACTAAAATATTCATTTCCAAAATCATCCTGTTCCATCAGAATATAAAATGGAGAAAAAAGCTGAGGTTTCGTTTCTAAGTTTGCGGTTTCTTAGTGTTAAACATGTTAAAGTGGATAATTTCAATTTTTAAATGTTGTTAATAACTCCCTTCTGATACATGGGTTTTTAAAAGAATCGTGTTGTTAAATCAGTAGTTGTATGTTTAGGGGTTAGTGGACGTTGTCTTTTCTTTTATCTTTGCTATAGTGTTGTCTCTTCTTCGGATTGTAATTTTAAATGACCCCCTCGTCATCTTTATATTTCTTTAAAGATTCTAGTTTCAATTAAGGACAGTTATTTTTAAAAACCAAGCAGGGGCATATATAATTGTGATATATATATATATATATATGTATATGTGTTGACATTTTTTGTTCTTTTTCATTTAGTTTATATTAGGAAAATTGAAAAATATGAAAATCAATGTTTGTCGAAAATATTTTTGATCTTATCAGATATTTGTTTTTAAAAGATATATATTTTTTTATAATTCATACCATATGTGACTTATTTCTCACATGAATGCAAATATATTAAAAAAAAAATGCTCGAGTTTTTATTTGTGTTCATGACTTCAGGTTGCATTCAAAAACGGTCATACCATTATTTGTTCTTTTCACATCATTCATCAACCCCGCCTGGCTTTTTATAATTAACTGTTAAATAAATGTACGAACTTTATTCTTTTTACAATTTACTCACAAGTTGTGATACAAGATTCCGTTTGTGTCACAGATTCTTTCATCGGTGTCTACACTGAACCTGTCACAATTAAAGCCATTGATGACGTCACATGGCATACCATTATTGAAGAAAGCCGTTGTCCTTCCGAACAACACTACAACGTAAAATATCTCATTTATCTGCTTGATTGTTGTACAAAGTAGTGCAAAGTTCCCCAGCAAGGGTTATGTGAATATTCCAGTTCTTTGAAGAATTTTTTTTATAGATATACTAACAGGCCTTTGTGTACATATTGTCACTACGATATTTTGTGTTATACTATATATCAAATTTTCTATTTGTATGCAAAACGGAGTCAACATTTCTAAAAGTTTCACAACAGAAAAATCTTGTAAAAATGTTTAAACATCTTTTATAATTGTGTGTAAACAATATCAAAATAAAATTGAAAATGGAAACGGGGAATGTTGCAAAGAGATAACAACCCGACCAAAGAGCAGAAAACAGCCCAAGGCCACCATTTGGGTCTTCAACACAGCGAGAAAATCCCGCACCCGGAGGCGGGCTTCAACTGGCCCCTAAACAAAAATGTATACATACTAGTTCAGCGAAAATGGACGTCACACTAAACTCCGAAACATAAATGTACTAAAATTAAAAAAACATACAAGACTAACAAAGGCCAGAGGTTCCTGACTAAGGACAGGCACAAAAATGCGGCGGGGTTAAACATGTTTTGTGAGATCTCAACCCTCCCCCTATACCTCTAACCAATGTAGAATAAACTAACACACAGCAATACGCACAGTAAAAATCAGTTTAAAAGAAGTCCCGAGTTCGATGTTAGAATTGGTAACAGAAGAAACTAAGTAAAATGACAATGATCAACATAAATTAACAAATGACTACTAGCAGTTACTGACATGCCAGCTCCAGACCTCAATTAAACTGATTGAAAGATTATGTCTTCACCATATGAAAATCAAGCACAATCCCTCCTGTTAGGGGTTTAGTATCATACCATCATAAAATATACGAGAAGAACATAACCTGTATCATGCCAACAACTGGTTTTAGAATAAATGTGTTTTTTTCTGATGCAAAGACCCTATGGGTGAATCAATATTAATAACAAAAATTGCCATCTTTAATGACCTGAAAATAGTATCGTAACTATATCCCTTCTGAATAAGTCTGATTAAAGGTTTGGTTAGCTTTTGAGGTGAATGACGACATGTTTGTGCTTTGTATAGAAATTACCATAAAAGATGGATGTGAAACACCTGAACGTATAAGATGTCTGCTCGTTGATTTATATTTACGAATGATGTCCTTGTACCGATGATAAAATTTAGTAAATTTTTTGACGAGTTTGTGATATCGAAAACCCTGGTGTAATAATTTTTCATTAATACAGAAATTTCTTTCGTTAAAATCAAATACGTTGTTATTGAAAAATCATCTCTTTTATCGTAAATTTTGGTATTAAGCTTCCCGTTAAAGATACAAATGTCAAGATCCAGGAAAGGGCAGTGTTCATCGTTGATATTAGCTTTATTTAAAGTCAGTTCAGCAGGATAAATCTCTTTAGTGTACTGAAGTCGTCATCATTGAGAGTCAATATATCATCCAAATATCTAAAAGTGTTATTAAATTTTTGTATCAGATGTTGTTTCGATAGGCCTTTGCTGATTTTAGTCATAAATTGTAACTCGTAACAATACAGAAACAGGTCCGCAATAAGTGGTGCACAGTTAGTCCCCATTGGAATTCCGAAAACTTGACGATATACGGAATCTTTTAAATGCCCATTTAGTTCGGTTTTTAATTTTTTCTTAATGAGATTATGAGGCAAAGTCGGTAGAAAAATTAAAACTTTGAACAGATTCGAAATCACCAATATGAGCAAAATTTATCAAGTACTTCCAACTAATTTTTGACACTCCAAAAGTAGTTAACTCCACTATTTTCTTTAAGGCCTTATTTGAACAATTTATTACCAGGTTTTTGATTGTGTTATATTAAAATTTTGTCTTTGGCAATTCATTATTTTACTATAACTGTACCAAGTGTACTAGTAAGTAGAATAGACAGTTTAGCAATTAAAAACATACATTAAACATCAGTCTTGTTTATATCAAAATAAGAAAACAAAATACTAAAAAATCATCGTGCATAAAAATGAAAGAAAAAAATAATAAAAAAGTTTGATGGAACTACAGACGTTAGGACTGAGTTGCATCAACATCTTTTTATAAATACGCTTACCATAAAAGATAATACAAAATTTGTACATTTTTCCTGACGAAATATAGTTTACTTCCGAACTTTAATAGCTCATAAATAGTAACTAACAAGCGTGACCTATCTTATCAACATATATTAAGTACAAGTATCAGTACTACCAAATTCTTCATCTAACATACTTTCTGTACATACCCTCTGTATTTCCTTTAATTCAAATGGCCTCTTCTAATGGATAGCACAATTCTCAATTAGTTCTATATGACCGTGTTTCAATTACCATGAATTTACATTTTGATGGACGGAATACTTTTCTCAATTAAATGTTTTACAACTGAGATAATAATATCATGAAAAATACAAAACATCCGATAAATCTTATCACAAATATAGAAATTAATTATGGAATTCAATGATGATTCCATATGCAGGAATTTAACATTTGTAATAAGAAGTGGTATTTCAATCCGCGGTTTCTGGTGATGTTATTTTTTACGCCATCAATTTTAGGACTTGGCCCTTTAAATCTTCCCATTTGGCTATTAATATTTATGGATAAAGGTTAAAATGACACAGCTGTTGTTCGGTCTTCTACTATACTTTAAGGAAGGACTAAAATTATTCGTTTGTTTTTCCGCATTAAAAGGGTACGTGATTGTTCTTGACATTACACAAGGTCGTATCTGCCTGTTCTGTTTATGAGTTTACTGCATGGAATCTACTGCGAAGTACACCTACTGATATTAGAGTATGTCGAGTACAGCAAGGTTTCCTACGAACAGGCTAAGTATTTTCAGATTGCTTTCAGAAATGCTAATTCCCTTTGATACGATATTGTTATATATTGTTTTGTTTATGTTAAATAACGTTATGGTATTTTAATTGTACTGTGTTTGTTTATGTTCTTTAATGGACTACCTTCTGTTATTCAACTGATTAAGAATAAAAAAGATGAGGGTTAAAATCTATATAAAAAAACTAGATTGAACCAACCACATTTTCATGTACACGAACCTCGTCATTCAATTGATGGTTTTTGATTACCACAATGGTGTCATTTTATTTTCTTTTGAATTACAAACTGATTGAATAGTCCACATTGTGGCATAACATGCTATAAAATGCAAAACGAGAAAAGAGTCTTGTGAGCCACTCCACACCGAAGTCGTATTACATCACACAGCGGATAATTTCTTTAGACCTGTCTTTTATTTTTCTAGTTACATCCTTTTGTTAGCACACATCAAAAAGAGGTCGCATAATCCTATTCCTTATTATCTTTAATGTGATATACGACTCTCAACAAGCCATGCAAACTAATACACTAATACATTGAAATAAAATCCTCAAGTTTGCATATCGCAGAGGACCTCATACCCCCTAGCTGGTTAATAACATACATATTCATATGTTAGAGTTCACATTATTTAAATTTTAATAGCCTTTGAGATACTACATACACAAATTGAAACATGCTCGAGCGCAATGACGCCGATGAATGAAGGCAATAGTAGTATACCGCTGTTCAATAGTCAGAAATCGATTTAACTAAAACAAATCCGAGTCACAGTCCAAAACCGAGGAAAACACATCAACTCTGTGAGAATGACAAAGGAACAACATAAACACTGAACTGCTACAAAAACAAACGCCAACATACATAGACACGGACTATTTGATAACAACTGCCATATTCCTGACTTGGTACAGGACATTTTAAGAAAAAAATTATTGGTTAAACCTGGTTTTATGGCTAGCCAAACCTCTCGCTTATATGGCAATGTAAATAATAACGCTAACATGACAACATTACGTGACAGGAATACAGTACAAATAAACACAAGAACACTCAGGACAGAGAAATACATAAATAAAAAATATAAAAGTACATTACAACATGTAAACCACAGAATAACAACGGACACCTCCCATGTACATCACAATGAATTATGAGTTGTGCGTCACACGAATGTATCAACGCCACAAAAAGTGACGTCACAGGTAATTTCTAAAAGTAGAATATAAAATTGGGATTAAGTTTGTAATGGTGTTATTTTATGTATTTTCTAACCATTACACGAATACTAATATAGAATTGTGTTAGTAATGGTGTAATTATTTGTATTTTCTAACCATGTCGGTTTTTCTACTAACTTGATTCTTCTTTTTAAATCAAAATTGTGTAAAAACAAATAAATCCTGTGCATATAGGATCATATAGTAGCTTTAAACTAAAAATCATATAAATGAACTAGTTGATTAATTATCTTAACTTTTACATACATATAGAAAATGAAAAAAAGAGAATTCAAACCACAAACGATAAGACATAACACAATATCCAACCAAAATTACAAACCAAACATCATAACAAAATACATGAATGTTGGATGTATAAATACCGAGACACGTCTAATAGCAATGCGAATTCACACTCGGGAAAACAGTCATATTAGGGAAATGGTCACGTTCGGTACTTAGCAGACCAGACGACGTAGATGGTAAACCACAATCTAAGACGTGGTAAAAATGTCGTTATATATAGTTAGCTTAGACACAGACACATCGTATAAATCAATCAATTCGTGATCTGGTGTCCATAAAATTTACGGAGTGTCATTTTTAATCTTTCCTCCTCATAACTCTGTTTGGGCAGTTTCTTCGTAAGGAGCAAACTCCTGTATTTGAAGTCCTTATAGTGTGAACATGCACGAGCATAACGTATCAAACTCATTATATTCATTCTGCTTTCTGATCCTGTATGTTAACCTGGTGAGCAAGTCATCAAGGGAACCAATATAGCGAATTGCAAAAGAAACATCACAGACATCAGCCACTACAGCCTAGACATTGAAAGCAAAAATCTTTATGAAAAAGAAGAGATGTAACGTGAAAACAGAAACTATGCATACCCGCTTTTTCGTATAACCAGTAACGTACAAGAAGGACAAATAAATGCAATACAGAATAATTTTATTTATTTCAAAGAGAAATACAAAACTGTATGTTGACTACTGTATATTTCCTGTTGTGGGAGCATTTATCAATGCAAATACTGGATCCCAAGTACTATTATTTGAGTCAATTTGACTATTCATGATAGAAATTTCAACGTTTTAAACCTAATAAAGAGATGCACCACAAAATGACCTTTCTGTTTTGTCTTGTTTTGTCAGGAACCTGTAATCAAGTGGTTGTCGTTGGTTGTTTGCCATAATTGTTTTGTTTGTTTATTGTGAAGTGTAAGTTAGGGCGTTATCTTTCTCTATCGAAATGTTTAACATTTTGTCATTCCGGGGCCCCATAGCTTACTTTACGATATTGGTTTTGCTAATTGTTGAAAGCCATTAATTAGTCACATATTTTTTGTTGTTTTTAATGGAGAGTTGTCTCATTGGAAATTAGACCATATCTTCTCATTTTTATGTTGATTTCATGGGTTGATCTTTTTGCGAAGGGTTTCACGCATTAGCCTTTTATGAGAAAGGTTATTTCCACATATCAACTTCCTTCCTTAAAGAGGCTTTGAAGTTTGATAATTTTCAAAACACGTTCATAATGGTAAAATAAGGCAACTTAAAGAGGTGTCGAGTCAATGGTATGTCTTTCAGATATTTAGCATTTGGAAGTTATCTGCATGTCGAGAGGTACTTTTTGTTGAAGTGATAAATTTCTAGTTTTTATCATTATTATTATCATCAACATTATCATAATTATCATTTTTATACACTACAAGCTATTATCTTGTCCTGGAGTGTCCGATTGATTACTGGGGCTAATTTATTACAGTTTGCCTTGTATCCAGGTCATGGCACAGATATTTGTACGAAATCGACAGACAGACGGATAAACGGAAAACAGACCGACACTTTGGCATGTCATGCATATGCTCTATCTGTACACTACCATGTAAATTGTATCTGCTTCTCCTCCGTAACACAGAATTTAATGAAACTTTCTTTAAATGTGCATGAAATGTGGCTCCTTAGTTCCTTTTTGATCAGACTTTTTTGTTCATTTCTTTTGGTATAGCATGCAGTCGAAAACAAAGCAAAGTAAATATGTTTTTTACACAAAGATCTCGAAGTCTGGTCTAATTTAACGTAAATAAGTTTTTTATTTGATTATATTTCAATTTTTAAAGCGACAATAAGATGTACGGCATTTAGTAAAAATAATTTGCGTTTTTAATGTTTTTAATATACAATTGATGAGTGTCGTAAGAGTTCTATTTGGCTATATGTAACTTGAACAGTTTGATCTTGAATCGACAGTTCTGAAACTTTAGGGATCAACAGTAAATATTGCATTATTTTATCTAAATATAATCCAATTAAACAAAACAAAAGGAAAGTTTTCAACAACATCATGCATGCTAAACATAGTTGGAGGGATTTGATATGGTTGAACATTTCATTCCAAAGTTCCAATTTCATTTTTTTCAGTTAGAAATATGGAATTGGTGAACGTAAGGATATCAAAATTGAAAAGCTCTGGTAATTGCCAAAATAATCTGAAAGGAATGTTCTCATAAGAAGTCTGCAATATCTTACAACGATTTACCAACTGCCAAATGATATATACTGGTTTGAATTTTACGTAGGGGTTGTTCTTTGTTTGGCCCTTAGTATAATTTGATCTGTTTAATATTTTTAAAGGACTAACTCAGGTCGAAACATTTATAATCACGTCTTCTTGTTCATTTCCTACAGCACACCTAAGTCTAACTTCAGGTGTACTTAGTGAGGCAATAAATCCCAGTGGAAATGTTGTGTAATAGTTGCAGAGATCTCCCATCAGCAATCGTTGTGAAGCTGCAAAATAGATCGTTAAAATAAGAATTTTAAAATATCTCAAACTCGGCAAAATATTTTCTCTTCAGTAGAGAATCTAGTGGCGAAAAATGATATATTCGTTGCCACAATTATTTTAAGTATACTTAAAGGTTAAATGTTATTTTTTCTGAATTGATTGATTTATGAAACTGGGAAGATCAGTCTTATAATTATTTATGAGGCCTGATGCAAGACTGATGAACATTATTACAAATAAACTCATCATAGATACCAGGCTTAAAATTTTGTACGCCAGACGCACGTTTCATCAGTGTACTCTTAAATGAAAAAAGTTAAAATTTCAAATAAAGTACGAAGTTGAAGAGCATTGAGGAACAAAAATTCCGAAAGGTTTGTGCCAAATACAGCTTAAGTAATAAAAGAGGTGATTTAAGGTGATATGAAATTCAGACTGAAATTTAGATATCGTGCAACTGTGTAAAGACTATCATACTTTTGTAAAGTGACAATCGCTTGTATTTTCTGCAGAAAAAAATTTCAAGCATGTGTGAACTTACACTCTCCGAAAAAAAAATTCTTATAAATAATGCCATCTAAAAATTAGATTCGAGTTTATAGATTTCCACAGGTACTATTCAATAGCTTTTTCGACAAATTTGATTACATAACGTTTCTAGATAAAGACTCACGTTTGCCTATCATATTTCTTTCGATGATATATGAACCATTGTATGCATCATATCTGTACCAGTACATAGGTATAGGAGGTTTTCCAACGTAACCATCACATTCTATATGAACTTCTTCATCTGCTTTTACCCCTATGGATGTCTTATTAACAACAGATGAGCCGTTTACTTTTATGTTTGGTCTTGCCGAATGAGCTGTTAAAATACAATGAAAAATCAATAAATGAACAGGATTTTCACATTTACCATTCAGTTAAGCTGATTATACCAACAAAAATTAGCAGCTTTTTTCTTTATTTGACTTTTTCAATGTACTTGAGAAATTTCAGTACATTTATTTTAAAAGTAAATGACACACTGAAAATTTTCAAAAGTCTGTTCTTTCAAAAATATATTAAATACTGATATAAGTTTTCTACATACTCACAATTTACAACTAAAGCATAAGAATCTGTAAACATTTCCAATGACCCCTGGTCATTCATACCACCAACAACGCACTCATAGTGTCCTTCATCCTCACAGTCCATGGTTTTCATCATAACATTTACACGTTGGTCTGCAACACTTCCATTTATTTCCATCCTTGATCTGTATTGACTGCCACGAAAGAATTCACCAAGGTCTGTTGAATTACCAGTAGCAATAACGACGTCATGTAATAGGAACAGACCATTTCTTCTTATAGTCATCCACTGTGGAGATTTAACCAAATTTGAATTGAACTCGCATGATATATTAACATCTCTTGAATCAAGGTAAACATGCTCTGGTACGATTTTAATGTTGATATCTGATAT